GTGCACGCCGATGCATTGTCTCTGATTCGGCGTACATTCCTTGGTCTCCCAGCATATTAGCTAGGCTGTTGACACTTGATAGGGTGTGCGGGTGGTCTGGTCCAAGAATCCTCTCCTGCCCCTCCAGTGCACGTCGATGCATTGTCTCTGATTCGGCGTACTTTCCTTGGTCTCCCAGCACACTGGCTAGGTTGTTGACACTTGACAGGGTGTGCGGGTGGTCAGGTCCAAGAATTCTCTCACACCACTCTTGTGCGCGCCGATTCATTATCTCTGCCTCATCATACTTTCCCTGGGATGATAGCGCCGTAGCTAGGCAGGTGGCGACCCGCATGACGCTGTGACTATTTGGGCCCCATGATCCTTCTGTATCCTTTAATAAATCCCTAAATATCTTCTCGCCCACTTCCGCCTTTCCTTGCATTATGCTTATCCAACCCAGGGCCATAACCCTCTCGTAACCCTCCCCATCCCAATCGTGCTCTTTATTCTCTTCCCGGAGTTCAACACACTGACGAAAGTGAATTTCTGCATTGTTGTAGGAGCCAATCTCTTCAAAGTAGCGTCCCAGGCGGAAACAAAGCTCTCCGGCAATGGGATCAGTTGAATCTTTGGTTACTACAAGTGCATGGGGAATGTATGCGGAACCAACATATCTCCCCGTGTTCTCATCGGGAAGGAACAGCCTTGAAACCACTTGCAGCGCAGTGACCCTCCACAATTTCAACTCCCCGGTTGGTAAATACACCTGTAAAGACAGTTGAACCAAACGGTGAAGCTCGTAAAATATCTTGCTCCCACATTTGACAGCCGTAACTAGTGAAAATCCCAATAGCTTGCCAATGGCCTGACGAAATTGAACTGGGTCATCTAACCCTTCCAAACCACTTTGGGTCAATAACTCTTGGGGTATGTTCTGGCGATCGAAGCAGACGATTAGGCGCAGAAGATTGGCAGATAAGGTCATCTGCCGTGTGATCTGGTCAAAAGTAACAAAGTACGTCGCAAGGGTGCTATCGGTTAGATCCGCCTCTCGTTGGATGTCCCAAAATGGTTGTGAAAGGAGGCTCTTTGCTCGTTCGTCGCTTTCTTGGAAAATAGTCCAGTAAGTGGATGGCGGTGTTTGGGTTTCTATCATGAAGGCCGCTGCACCAACGATAGCCAGTGGGATGTGATGTACGGATTCCAGGATCCTTGTAATGGCCTCATTTTCTTCCTCATTCAAACTGTCCGGGCTACCAAAGCGTCTCGAGAACAAGGCTCGCGCCTCATCCTCCTCCATCTTTCCAATATCTATTCTTTCGCAACCTTGCCAGGATGCAACCCGGAGTGATCTGGTGGTGAATATTAGATTACCCCGGGGCCCTTGTGGTATGAATTTAGAGATGGGGCCACTGTTGCCGGTGAAGTCCTCCTCGTTGTCGGCATTATCAACAACCAGTATCCAATCACCGCTGGCTGAACCTTCAAACCACCTTTTTATGCTCAACAGGAATCCCTCTTGGTCCGTCTCGGCGCCGGGTAGCGGAATTCGAACATGTTGTGCAATAGCTGCGAAACCCTCACTAAACTTTTGGAGCCCACCCCCGTGCACCCAGTAAACATCACAGTCTCTCTCGCTTGCGCGCCGATAAACGTATTCGAGGGCAATCTGAGTCTTTCTAAGCAGGGTTAGTAAACCCCCGAAATACCAATGCAGAGTGCATACCCGGAACCGCCCAGTCCATGAAGTGCAATCCGGTTGTGGGCGTTCCCCTGGGAGAGCCTTTTTATCGACTCAATGAGATCTTGCCGGCCAGTGAACTTGCCGTTTCTGCGATAGGGAATTATCCGATAAGGCCTGGGTTCATGTTCTAGTTGTAACGGCGCATTAGATCTTTGGCGGGAAGGTCTCGGAAAAGCTGGTAATACCTCTGTCCCCCGCTTCTGGCACATACTGGTGATATACCTGCCCGATATTGGTAATGGTGTGCAGGTTTCCCGTGTATACGCGATTATCATTATCATTATGGCTGCCGGAAACATTGCGACTCCCTGAATTCCCGCTGAAGTCTCCGCTAATATCGGGTTGGGTTTTTCTAGGGGGGGTTGTTAGACGGGTGCTTCTTATCTTCGAAATCATAGACCTTGAAGGGGAGGGGATCCCACCGATCCATCAAGTGCTCAAGTATGCAGCTCTTTGTTGGGCCGTTTTCACAGGATGGGTAGAAAAGTAATCAGATGTGGCTAGCGTATCCAAAACGGAAGAGGAAGCCTATATGTCGCCAACGGAGCCAGTTCAAAATGGTTTCACTAGCCCTGAAACCAGTCAATAATTCGAGATATGGTACCATTCCAAAATGTATAGCCGAGGACCCTACCTTGGATGTGGAGATAAATAGCCGACTATTTTCGAGGGGGTTATGGGGGGGATCTGAGCCCGGGTATCATAGTTCGAATTCGCTAAAGTTAAAAATTTAATCTTAAGGTACGGGGCGGCTATCAGAGCGGTAGCGTCTCGGGAAGATCAACTCCGTGTTAGCTGCTCGGGCGGGGTAGATGAGCAAGAGAATCAAACAATGGGTATTGTGGCTACATATGGCGCAAAGTGCCTAAAGGCGGGTCCTCCGGTGAAATTTATATATTATGATAGAACTTTTTTTTTTCTTTTTTCTTTTTCACAATCCGACAACTGTGCTTCGGACGACGGGTGAGTCCTATCCCCTCGAGGGGGCCCATACATCGTGCTGATTGCATTACACTCGCACTGCAGATCATGCCTCGGGCGGGCTGGCTGACCCTTGGGCGAGGGAATCGCAAATGGAGGGAGCGCCATGAGGGGCTTTTGGTTGGGATATTCCGGGATCCCCCATTTCCATACCGGTGGCAGTACGGTATGTACAGTACTCGAGTCCGAGTACTAGTGCTAGTAGCCTACAGCACTTGTTTGACTAAATTCACGCGCTACACAAATGTCCTAAGCGCAAAGCTGTCGATCCTTACAAATATAAGTACAATAGACTACCATAGACTAAATTACAAGTACCAGCACTCGTCCGGTGTCAAAGAAGCTGGGAGCTTACAGCACGAGAACTCTCCCGTCCTTGGCATGTAAGTTACCGTAGAAAGGCCGACCGGCGATTCCTACCGTGCCAGGGTGGGTCCGACCTCGGCTCCCCACAATCCGTAAACCCGGGCCTTGCAATAGATGAATTGGATCACCAGAAATCAACCTCAACCGCGTCACCATGCCGCAAGAACTCGAGTAGTTGGGCCATGTGCTATGTACTCGAGTACTCTGGTGAAGGGGAGAAAAAAGTGAGCCGCTCGCGCCTCCGAGAGACATGAGAAACCAAAAAAAAAAAGCGCTAAGCCTTACCGGTACTACCATGCGATAAGGCGGCAGCTCTAATCACAGAGGAGTATACGGAGTAGACTCGGTCCAATTACCGGCAGAGTTCTTACAGTATTAGCATCTCCCTACCGGCATCCCCTAATTGTTATACCAACACAAGCTACTCGTACACGGCACGTCATAGGATAACACTCGGGCAAAAATGTTCTGCACTCCTCCACCCCCCACTGACAACCTCATCCTAACCTTTCCATCGCCCCACATACTCGTCGTAACGATCAATCGCCCGCAGGCAATGAACTGCATAAATACCCAAACCCACAGCGAAATGTCACAGGTATGGCGCTGGTACGACGATGAACCATCACTCCGCTGCGCCGTAGTCGCGGGAAGTTCCCGGGGCAGGAGGAAAGCTTTCTGCGCGGGTCAGGACTTGAAAGGTCCATCCTATGCTTGCGCCCTGTACTGCGAGACACAGCTAACGAGAGTAGAATGGGACGACATTCAATCAAGTGATACCGGCTCCCTCCCTGTCCACCCGGAGGGCGGCTTCGGCGGTCTCTCCCAGCGCCGTGGGAAAAAGCCCGTTGTTGCTGCAGTCGACGGGCTCGCGCTCGGCGGGGGTATGGAGATGTTGGCCAACGTGGATATGGTCGTCGCCTCGGCTAGCAGTATTCTGGGACTTCCGGAGGTCAAGCGTGGAGTGGCGGCGTTCGCCGGTGTGTTGCCGCGGTTGACCATGAGTGTGGGATTGCAGCGTGCGAGCGAACTCGCCCTGACTGGGAGGATGTTGAGTTCGAGTGAGGCGAGGGAGTGGGGTTTGGTTAATAGGGTTGTTGGGGATGGGGAGGGGGAGGCGCTCACCGCAGCTGTGGCCGTTGCAGAGGAGATTGCAGGGAACTCGCCGGACAGTGTTATTGTGAGCCGGGCAGGGCTGAGGAGTGCCTGGGAGGGGGGAAGCGTGGAGGGCGCGACGAGGAGGGTTAGGGAGGGAATGGGGATGGGACTGGGGACCGGGGAGAATTTCAGGGAGGGCTTGAGGGCTTTTGCGGAGAAGAGGGAGCCGAAGTGGGTGGATTCTAAATTGTAGGTGTGTACGAGTAACTGGGGTCGGAGGTTTCTGAATGGGCAAGTGCCGGTCTGATATGACACTGGCACGATACCTGGGGCACGCAGTATTTGTGCAGCACGGCGGACTATTTTGAGCCATGCTAGTGTGTTGTCATGGACGAATTGGGTTATTTTTCTCAAAATATATGATTTCTATTGGATTTATCTCTTCAACTCAACGGTGGATATTCGTCATACTAATCAAAAGGAAAACGAGAGAACGGGGCTGTAACTTGTGCGCCAAGAGGAAGCTCCTTCAAAGTAACAGCTGTTAATGAAATGCCATTGCAGATAACTCCAAACTTTGCCGTTCCCTTTCCCAAGCTAGCCAATCGGAGGGTGTAGTCCTGACCGCGGGCGGAATAGTTAGTAACAAAATCTCCATACAGAACAAAATTTCTCGAGGGAAACATACGGCAATAGCCCCATCCCGTTGACCTTCCATATACCAAGAGCAATCGTAGCAATTTGAAGCCCAATGTAAGCAAGCTTGACCGGCCAGAGTCTTGTGTGAGTCCTTTCGTTATCGAACCGAGCAAAGGTACTGCCAACAGTAGAAAGTGCCTTGAGAGGGTTCATGAACAACATGACAGTCATCATGATGGAGAAAATTTGGAGAGTGTTGCCGGACATGTACATCATTATAGCGTTCATGGGGATTGACTTTGCCGGTGCTAGGGCGAGCTCCCATGCTTTCTTGAGGAAGAGGTCATCGGTTTCAGTGGGTGTAGGGGTCGGGTGAGATTTACTCGATTTTCCCTGGGACAGAGATGAGTAAAGCCTGCGATAATACGGGGTACGTGAAGCATACTTTGCCGGCGGAGCCCTGGGAGAAGCCCGGGGGATCGGGAATGGAAGGATTAGGCCTAGGGCGAGAGGAAGGGAGGTTGTTCAGGTCAATCACCCATTGGGGGGATGGCGGGGGAGGAAGACGAGGTGGGCCGTGAGGGGCCATAGTTATTGCTTGATGGCGAATAATGCGGAAGGGAGTAGATAAGTCGGTATCGCGGACAGGCACCTGGATGGCAGAGCTTGTTCCGGGAGAGGAGTTGGGCAGTCTGGGTGGGATGGGATGATGAGCTGAGGATGGAGGTCAAAAGCAAAGAAACTGTGGTGGTTCGGCCGCACCCCGCTGACTAATCAACCCCTGCTTCCGCCAGGATGGAAAGTGAAGCTCCCCCAAACTCACATTTCGCATAAAGTGCTGAGTGTGTTTCTCTCAACCCCACATCTTCTCCATAATAACCCCTACCGATACTCCCCTGGATCCCCTACTTCATCTTTTATAATGGCTAGTGGAGGTGATGCTCGTTTTTTTGCACGAGTACGCTCCTCTCTGTCAGTATGCTCTGAAGTGTACCATCTAACGTCGAGAATTGTAGGGAAAAGTCGCCGAGCTCCGCGCTGAACTCAACAGTGATAAGAGGGACAAGAACTTCGCTAAAAAAAAGATTACGCTCAAGAAGATCGTGGCCAATATGACCATGAGTAACAATGATATGGCAGCGTTGTTTCCAGACATAATCAACTGCATGGAGATACAAGCCCTGGAGATCAAGAAGATGTTCGAGACACCTTCCCATCCAGGGCGTGCAAGCTTGAGGTTTGAGGGTTTGAGAGCAGAATTGCTGATATGGTAGTGTGGATCGCAGGTGTTTCCTCTTCTTGGTAAACTACGGTCGAATGAAGCCCGAGATGGCTCAGCGCGCGCTCCCAATCCTGATCAGAGTACCATCCCCGCAACTTTGGTCACCGATTATCCCCCTGTTTTACCTCACGACTGACCCATCTAGGATATGGATGATCATAATCCGCTTGTTCGAGCTCTGGCGCTACGGACAATGTCCTACATCCACGTTCCTCAATTCGTCGAAGCTACGGTTGTTCCGCTACGACACCTCCTCCGTGACTCCGACCCCTACGTCCGAAAGACGGCGGCATTTTGCGTTGCGAAGCTTTACGACCACGATAGAGATCTGGTAGAGGGTAGTGGGGGTGCGAATGAGCAAGGCTTAATTGAGGGGTTGAACGGGCTTTTGAAGGACGATAATCCCACAGTTGTTGCTAGTGCTTTGGTGGCATTGATGGATATCTGGGAGAGGAATGAGAGTATAAGACTCACTATTGATCACACGAATGCGAGTAAGATCGTTCAGATTCTACCAGATTGCTCAGAGTATGTGATTCCGTGATGTTGAGTCCCAGGCGTCTCTTACCTTGGCTCTGCACTCTTGATGTTAGAGAGCGCTAACTTTCCTAGATGGGGCCAAACATATATCCTAGAAGCACTAATGGCCTACGTTCCTCAGGAAACGGCCGAAGCGGTCATGATGGCTGAGCGTATCTCACCTCGACTGCAGCACTCCAACTCTGCCGTAGTTCTTACCTGTATCCGGGTGATTCTCTACTTGATGAATTACATTGCGGACCAAAAGGAGATTTCAACTCTCTGCCGAAAACTATCACCACCACTCGTTACTTTGCTGGCGAAAGGGCCCGAAGTACAATATCTCGCGCTAAGAAATGCTTTACTGATATTACAGCGGCGGCCAGAGGTTCTCAGGAATGATATCAGAGTATTTTTCTGCAAATACAATGATCCTATCTATGTTAAAGTCACTAAATTGGAGCTGATATTTATGTTGGCAAACGAGGACAATATCGAGGAAGTTTTAACAGAACTGCGGGAGTAAGTATCTCCGTTTGCTCTCTTTGGTCGCTTCATCTTAGAGTGATGTTAAATCAAGGGCTGCAGATATGCCACTGAGATCGACGTTCATTTCGTCCGCAAATCAGTCAGAGCGATCGGAAAATTGGCCATCAAGATTGAACCGGCTGCTCGCCAATGCATCAACACCCTCCTCGAGCTTGTCTCAACAAAAGTCTCGTATATTGTGCAAGAAGCTACCGTAGTAATCCGGAATATCTTCCGCAAATACCCCAATCAATACGAATCCATAATTTCAACACTTTGCGAGAATCTCGATTCTCTGGACGAGCCAGAAGCCAAAGCCGCCATGATCTGGGTTATTGGCCAATACGCGGACAGAATTGAGAACAGTGATGTCCTCCTTGAAGACTTCCTCTTTTCCTTCCAGGACGAGCCGGTAGAAGTGCAACTTGCACTGCTGACAGCCACTGTAAAACTTTTCATCCAACGCCCGACAAAGGGACAGGACCTGGTACCAAAAGTTCTCAAATGGGCGACCGAAGAAACAGATAATCCCGATCTCCGTGACAGAGGCTACATGTACTGGCGGCTGCTCTCGGCAGACCCTGCAACAGCAAAGAAGATAGTGATGGGTGAGAAGCCGCCTATCACAGCGGAGACCGAGAAACTGGACCCCACTACTCTTGAAGAAATGTGTTTGAACGTGGGAACCCTAGCAACAGTCTATCTCAAGCCTGTTAATCAGGTTTTCCGAACTGCCCGTCCAAAGAGATTGACGGATAGTCCGGCCTTACAGAGGCACACGCTTCCAACAGCGATCGCTGAACAGGCACATAGAAGAGCGCTTCAGTCCGAACAGCAGCAGCAGCAGCTAGTGGAAAAGAGGACCTCGGAGGAGGGTATGGGAAATCTGCTTGGTGGTGACCTCGCGGCAGCAGTTGATGCCGCAGATGATTACTTTTCCGGGGGTGGAGGAGGATCGGGGACGAACCCGTTTGCGGTCAGCGGGGGACCAGTGGCTGGTGGTGGGCAGTATGGTTTGTTTTCCCCTTTCACCCTTGCGCTAATTACTGCTAACCTCCAATCCAGTCGTCAATCAGAATGCGCCCCAGCCCATATATTCTCCCCAACAGGGCGGAGATCTCCTACTGTTGTAGGGTAAGGGGGTGTTTAAGGATTCAGATATACTGGCGTTCCTTGATGTGACACGAACGGGGTGGATTGGGACCGCAAAAGTATCAGAGAGATCTTTCTATATTTCTTATACCATTTTTGATTCCTTATAATACTGTATTTATACCTTTTATCTCTCAACCACGGCCCAATTACCTACCCAGTAGTTTCGATTTCAGTATATCATGAGTTTGGCTTTTTGTTATCGAGTTGGAGGGTGGTATGGGGCCGGGGCATCTGATGTTAACATAAACATAAAGGTGAGCTGGTTTAAAGAAACCGCCAACTCATCCAGCGAATACCGAATAATTTAATCGAGATTAAGCCCAACCTCCTCATCCAGGATACTGCAAAACTTCTCACTGCCGCTAGTAGGGAAATGTTTAAACTCGAAACCCTCCGCCTTTGTAACGGCCTCATGAAGATTTCTACCCGGAAAAAGCCGCCATCAGCCAGCTCGCCCCAACACCCCTTCCAGCATAGCAAGCCCCTCTTCCTCCCAAAACCACACAAGAAACAGACAAATAAATAAACAAAGAAACAGGACTTACTCCACAAACCCCTCAACCAGATACCCCACCCCGCCAAGCTCCTCCGCCAACTCCTTCTGATGATTATCCATGAGCGCACCATTGGCCACGACGACCAGCCGTTTCTGATACCTCAGCGCATCGAGAATGCTCCCACTGCCAGCGTGCGAAATGACCAGGTCCGCGTGCGTGACCTCGGTGCGGAGGTCGTCCGTGAAGCCGAAGCCGGTGAGCTCGATGCTGCCGCAGGACGGCAGCGCCGCGGCGGAAAGTGTCCGGAAGAGCTTCTCGCAGTCGCCGTATTGGATGCGGAGGGCGGTGTAGCCGAGGGATTGGAGGGTGGCCAGGAACGTGGCCGAGAGGGATGCGGAGAGGAGCGACGGGAAGGGGGAGGTGGCGCCGGTTGTTACGAGGATGGTTTTCGTGGGGGTGTTGGACATTGCTGGCGTTCTTGGGGTGGTGGATGGATGGATGGATGGATTGGTGGAAGAGCTCGGTTAGACTGGTGGTTGGGTGAAGGGGTGGGCAAAATGCTCGAGTACTCGTACAAGTTGGAGATTGGTTTGGGAGTATTGTGTTGCTGGAATAGGATTTGATATAGTACTCGAGTAAAGTCATCATAGTACTCTTTGTGTGAGGCAGGTAACTCACTTTGTATGATATCATACTCGAGTACGGCGGGTAGTCACGTGGTAAGACTCATAGAGCATCACTCGACTTGTCACCGGTCCCTTGCCGAAGTTGCTGGACCTTGCTCTCCAGACTAGACGTTCTATACACCCTTGGTTACAAGACTTATATAATACACCCCCTGAAAAGTTGTATCGTATCATATCAACTCTTGTATTATAAATTCGAGCATCAGTTTCACTGCGCTAAACGTGGCCCTGAAACAGAAGGCAAATCGTAGGGTAGTATCATGGTACCAGCAATTTCAATGTCTGTGATGGCTCTAGTCTACCTCTTCCGGCTACCGTTCAGTCCTGTGGGCTATAGCGTTCAAAATAGTATGATCGTCGAAAATCAGCCTTTAAATTTTTCACCAGGCCAAAATAGTGCCAAATTTGTACCCCTAGTGAAGGAAGAAAAGCATGTTAGGAAGGTCCTCGGGCCGGCCGGAAGAAGTTCAACGGACCTACCATTTGTATCATACACGGGTGCGCGCAAGCTCATTGGGTGTGAGCGACAACGTGAAGTCTGGTCCTGCTATTCAATTCCAACAGTGTGGGCTTTGACTTGTCTTGAGAGGGGTTGCCTGGGCACACTGACTCGACTAGTTGGTATATGTCTGAGTTCGAACACGAGGTAGAGGTTGGGAATCTGACTGAGGGGGGGGAGGCGGGGGCTTTGAGAGTTTTCAGGGCCAAATCAAGAGGTCTGGTCAGGATGTGGAGGATTGGCCCACGGGGACTGACCGGTAGATGATGTTTCCCATTGAAGGGGCAAGGCCTTTTGTCAACGAAGCAATCTGCTGTACCTATCAGCTCAGTATTTCGGGAAGCTTCGTTATGACAACTTGATTATTGCATTTTGGTGACGGCCGGACACGCCGCTTTAAAGCGGTATATAGTATTACCACAAACCTCTAGATTACGAATATAATCGGTGTTAAAATGAGGTTTGGGGTGGCGACTAGCAACCGGACGACCCCAGGGCTACCAAGGTAAGAACGTCCAAAGAGATACTAGCATGACGAGAAAAGCTATTTCTTCCCCTAGCATTAGAACTGCCCAGATGAAAGAAGTGGTTACCTTGATCTGATATAGTTTTATGCTATAATTCAGTAAGTAAGAACAGCGGATGGGAAACACCCCCGGAACTCCCCTGCAATCGGTTGTTCCTCAATTTCACCTTCATTTCACCCAATTTTCCAATCACCAAACCGCTCCCGAAGACTCTTCTATTTATTTTACTTTACTTTCCTTGTGCATTATATAGGGCACAATCCCCGGAAGTGATCTATTTAGAAGTAGTCCGTAGGCCATTCAGTATTTAGTAGTGGACTCGATTTGAACATTTGAATGACAAATTCCCCGGGAAGACCAGCGAATCTAATAACAAAACACAGTTCGTGAGACACTTAACCGCCCGTATACAGTGCATAGTTGTCCATCCCTTGAATACCTTCCACGAGGTCGTCAGGGTGGTGTTCCCCCCCGGCAATTTTGTTACCATCAATACAAGTTAACCTTAGCTTCACCACTCCCGGTAGTATTGTTAAGGACTCCCGGCCCGCACATACCCATGAGCCCTTGGGGTCATAACTGACAGAATCAGCAAATGTTATTCCCAAAGCTGAAGAGGCGGTGTTATCTGCTAGATTGCAATATTCGCACGTGCCGGGCCCAGGTCCCGCCTTCGGGTTCACTTACATTTATTCCGCTTAGGGACTGTCTCTCCCCCGGACCCACTGGATTGTGATTCAGAACCAGTGGTATCGCTTCCTTCTTCGTCCTCTCCGCTCTCTTCATCCTCTTCAGATTCCTCGCTTTCCCCAGTGTGGTCCTTTTCAGATTCTTTCGCTATCTTTTCTATGAACGCCTCGATGATCACACATGCTAAGTTTAGGGTCTCAAAACATTGAATCTTGAGCGCATCCCGGCTTATCTCTCTGGTTGTGAGATTTTTTAGGCCAAGCTTGATCAAATTGTACCTCAACTCATCTCTTTTCGCCAATGCCCCGGAGAGGTGGATTAACTTGTGGCGGCAAGAGAGAAGCTCTTCCACACAGCCCCACAACGACTGTATCCTTCTACTTATATGAAATGTCTGCTCTTTTAGGGGCCCCATCCGCTGCCATGGATCCCCAAGCGTCAGCTCTAAAACGTCGTTAATTGGTAGCCTGGGTAGGCCTTCTTCCTGACCTTCGGGTGGAATGGTGACTTCTGCTCGGCTCGCGAGTTGTCGAATTCTGTCGACTTCCTTTTGAGGGCTTCCGGAGCGCAACAGGTCGTCGAGCTCTCTATCGGCTACAGTGAACTCTCCAAGGGCGTCGATATTGATCCACCTTCCGACCCCTGCGTCCTCAGATATGGATTCTATTGAAACCTAGAACCGGGGTTTGAAATTGGTTTCAAAATGAGAATCTGAGTTGAGGGTAGGATATACTTCACGCGTGGGGGCGTCATGTCCAGAGAGACTATGCTTTATTAGCATGCGGCACTGAAATTCTTGGGTGGAGACCTGCATATAGTTTAGAACGAGTGAGGACTCCATAAGGTTCTCGAACTTCTGATACTTCTCGTCATCACTGTCACCGCCGCCATCACCCCCACCTTCAGTCTCTGCACCTCGATTTGGCCCGAGGGTTAGATCCGATAACCTCGGCAGATCATCCTGCGCTCCCCCCGCGCTTCCTCCTAGTTCCGGCTCTCTGGGTATTCGTTCGGCGTCCGATGGCGGGGGCTCTGGGCTCTCGGGAGATTTTTCTTTGAAGGCACTGGGGAGCATTTTGTTTAGAGTACACTAGAAGATGTGGTGCTGATTGGGTGCCAGAGGTAAATTCGGTGGTGGTCTAATTGAAAGTCACTTCGGACTCTTGCTCTACAGCTCGCACAATACTCTTTTAGGCCTCCGGTACAGTTATAGACTCAGTTACGTTGAATACTCGTACATCCTGAGGCGTTTCTTCCAATGGGTTACGAGTACTTGTGGTGGTGCGTAGGTAGAATAGTGTTGCTAGCAGGCTTCTAGCGAGTGACGAAGAGTGATCGCGAGTGCCTTGAGGTTAAGTGGAGGGCACGCATTCCCTGGGAAAGTTGCCGGGTTTGTATTATACGAAAAGCATTATATCAGCTCAGCTCGTTAGAAATGTCGAGTGGGGGTTGGTCTCTGGCACTTTTTTTGTTTTTTTTCTCCTCTATGGTGCCGTTTTGTTCAGTCTTTGGTGGTGGGTTTGTAGTAACACTCTTAGTACCACCCACTGTTACATTGATACGCACTATATCCTGGCACCGCTGCGGCGGCATTGCCCTCCTAGAACCTCTCTCAGAAGGGAAAGGTATAACCTACCCCGAGGGCCCCATCAAGGCCATGTTCACCCGATGATGGATAAACGGAAGAATGAAACTGTGCGAAGGATCAGTGCAGGAGAATATAAACCCAAAATGTCCTGGGTACAGCCCCTGGAGCCCGCGGAGTGCTTATCTTAATTGATCAACACATACCGCCCCCCGGAGGATGTGACGTCCTATGCCACTTTACTGGCTATACTTCAGCTTGGGTGGGATTCCGGCGATATCCATGCGGGAGAGGAGTAGGACCCTAAGAGCATGTGGGAAAAAAAATAACCTTAAGAAGGGAGAATAATAAGTGTTGGTCGTTGCTTGCTGATGCCATCTTCTATCATACGCTGTACCTTGTCAGATGGTGGGTTTTCGATCCAGATTTTGTGAGGAATGAGTGAGATTCGAGCATCACAACTAATCACACATGATGATACCAATCGGATAAGGATCCTGAAAAAAGAAATATTCTTTAATCACGTGCAACCGTCTGCCTGCCACTTAACGCGTCTCCCCGAATCACCCGTGCAACCACGACCTCCTATCCACTTGAACCGCAAAGGACAATGGACCCCAAAGCAAAGCGAAAACGCACTGCAAAGACCAAACCAAGCACCCAAAAGAAACCTCGAAAAGAGCCCACCGAAGAAACCACCCCGACTTCAATCTCAATTCCATGGCCACCACACTTCAAGAGCCTCCAAAAACTTCACGAAGCCTTAAACCTCATATACACCTTTTGTGCGCAACGAAAACATGTCGCGACGACCTTTGATATGCTTAAATCTGCCGTCGAGAGTCAGACAAAGAAGGAATTGACTGTCGAGGATGTTGCACAGATGAAGTTTCTTGCACCAAGGAGTTTACGGTTTGCGTATGTCGACGAAGAGTTGTTGCAAGTGCACGTTATGGGACGGGCGAAGGATAGATATGAAGGCGGGAAGGAGGTACCGAGGATGGTCTTGCTCCTGGAGTTTCTGGATGGGGAGGTTAGCCAGAAGGGTGGAAAGGCGCCGGCGGTCTCTCAGAAGGCAGTTTTGGCACTTATCAAGAAACGGAATGAGGAGTTTGTTGCAGCAGTGAACAAATCTTTGAAGGGTTGTGCGGAGAAAGGGATTGATGCCGTTGAGCGCATCATGAGTGGATTTCAAGAGCATATTCCTAGATTGCCGGGATACCCTCAGTCAAGCTCCCAGGATTCACTGTCCGTGAGGGGTGATATCGAAATTCCCAAGGAACGCAAGCCGATTGCGGAAATCATCGAGGAGATAAAAAGATTGGACCTTTATCGTGACCAGATCGTCTCGAAGGGGCATAGGGTGATCCCTCCGCAGGAGGCTGCGTTTGGGGACCTCAAATTTCTGCTTTCACAAGCACTCGTTAACGCGTTATTTACTGCACACAACGTTACCCGATTATACACTCACCAAGTGGAAGCGATTAATAATTTATATGATGGACACAATGTTATTGTTTCTACGCCTACTTCTTCCGGGAAGTCGTTAATTTATCAGGTTCCAATCCTGCACAGGATGGAAAAGAGTGCCCGTGCAAGGGCTATGGCAATTTTTCCGACTAAGGCGTTGGCGCAAGATCAGAAGAGGAGCCTGATGGAAGTGTTGGGGTATATGACGGATGTTCTCGGCGCAGTATTGGTTGATACCTATGATGGGGACACAGAGCCGGAAGACAGGGACAGAATACGACAAGAAGCGAGGGTAATATTCACTAACCCAGATATGCTACATTGCAGTATATTGCCGAATAATGATAGATGGAAGGAGTTTCTCCAGGACTTGAAATACGTAATTGTTGACGGTGCGTGTCTCCACTACAGTATGTGAAGTGGATCTAAAAGTCGGTTTATTGGTAGAGTTACATGTTTATAATGGGTCATTTGGATCTCACGTTGCGTTCATCATGCGAAGGCTCCGGCGAGTATGTGCCTCATTTGGTAATACCAAGGTACAATTCGTATCTTGTTCCGCAACTGTTGCCAATCCCGAAACTGTAAATACCCCATCGCTTGGTTGTATCTGATAGTAGCTAAATTCAATTAGCACATGCAGACTATCTTCGGAATCGGCTCCGTCAAGTTAATTGACGTGGACGGATCCCCCGCCGGCAGGAAAGAGTTCCTTTGCTGGAATTCACCTTATAAAGACTCTGGAAATCTATCACTCGGGCGTGTGGATCCAGTCTTGGAGAGCGCCAGATTATTTGCGCAGTTGATATTGCGTGGTATCAGGGCAATAGCCTTCTGCAGGGTGAGGAATGTTTGTGAGCTGCTGATAAAGGAGGTCAGGAGTGAGTTCACGAGATTGGATCGGCCAGAGGTTGCGCCTAGAGTTATGGCTTATAGAGGAGGATATACCCCGCAAGATAGAAGGCAGATAGAAAAGGAAATGTTTGAGGGGCATTTGCTGGGTATCGTGGCAACGAGTGCGTTGGAGCTGGGAGTGGATATCGGAAGCCTAGGTATATCTATCTCCTGATAGTAGTCCTTCGCTCGGGCTGACGTGCGTGAAAGATGCCGTTATCATGGTCGGGTTCCCACACTCAATATCTAGTCTGCGCCAGCAAAGCGGGCGAGCTGGGAGGAGGAACAAAGACTCCCTCTCAATCCTAGTGGCAGGTTCAACCCCTCGGGACCAATTCTACATGGATAATCCTGACGAGATATTCACCAAACCAAATGCCGGGCTCCAAGTTGACCTTGAGAACCCCGTAATCCGCGAAGGCCATCTCCAGTGTGCTGCCTATGAAGTCCCCATTAACCTACTAGAAGACCCCCAGTACTTTGGGTCCAATCTCGAAGATTTTGCCGAATCCGAACTAACCCAGAAAAACGCCGGATCCTATCATCCCCACGAACGCTATCTTCCATATCCTTCCAAACACGTCTCCATTCGCGAAGGTCCTGACCCAGAAACACACATATCCGTAATAAACACGACAAACAACATCAACCAAATCATAGAAACCCTGGACCCGGATCATGCGACCTTTACCCTCTACGAAGGTGGTATATTCCTCTCTCAGGGGAAAACATACATCGTCAAGAACGTCAACCTGAGCGGCAAGTACGCAGCTGTGGAAAGCCTAACAGTAGACTGGACCACAACGCCGCAGGACTACACCGACATTGACCCCATACAAACCGCCGTCGTGCACATAATCCCGGAGTCCCCGTCGAAGGCATTTTACGGCACCATACGCATTCACACTGTTATCTATGGATTTCTCAAAATCGATAGAGCGAAGCGGATCCTCGACGCCGTCGAAATCGACTCCCCACCCATTACTAAACTGGCGAAGGGGATGTGGCTGGACGTGCCTGCTTCCGCACTAGACATCCTAGCGCTCAAAAATATAGATGCTGCAGCGGCGGTGCACGCAGCTGAACATGCAGTCTTGAACCTATTTGGGAATTTCGTAACGAGCGTGTCGGGCGCTGTCAAGACAGAGTGTAAGAGTGCTGTTAAGAGTGAGGAAGCCAAAGGAAAAGGAAAGGAGAAACCTGTATTGAGGAAGAAGTCTAGGGAACGCCCCGCCAGATTGGTGTTTTATGACGTGGGGGCTACGGGAATGTATACTCTCCGGGTGTTCAAGTCTATCCATCTTTTGCTCAGTCAGGCGGTTGAGAAGATGGAAGGGTGTGCGTGTTTAGATGGATGTTTTGAATGTATTACACCTGAAAGCTATTGTGCGGGGCTTGGGTTGCTGATAGAGTATTGTATAGGCATCAAGGGCGAACACTGTCAAGAAAGGAATGCACTAATGTCGAAACCAGGTGCATTCGTTATCCTCCAGACGATACTGGGTTTAGAAGTGGATCTTGAGAAGGTTCCGGATGGATCTGTGGATGGGAGGGGCACTGCTTCTGGGGACAGGGTCGTTCTCGCTGAGGAGATTGGGGTGGGCGAGCCTGCGAGGTGAAGCTATAACGGTGTTAGTATCAGGGCTCGGTATGAGTGGCTTGTTTGCACCCTATTCAGGCGCGGGCCACACTACCGCCAAGAGTGATTGGGGGAGTCGATACCAGGCGGCGTGGTATAAATAGTGGTAGATAGGTATTATTACCAGTATCACCCAATCTAGATGATAACCTGTATCATTATTGTTGAAACCTAGAGCCCCACGTTTAATCAAATCTATCATGACTAATTCTTTGTTCTAAGCTACACAAAACCCACAGATTTAGATATTGTGCAATCGGAAGCTCTTCATATCGTACATAACATAACGATTTATTTCTCCCTATGATTACCCCCCCCTCCCGCCCAAATGTCAGGCAAGGAAAGAAAAAACTGCAAACAAAATCATTGACTCTGCCACCCCACCCCCCAAAATACACAACGGGTGACCAACCATTGCAAAGACTCCTAGGAGCAAACGCCCGAAAACGAAGCATTAAGGCTGAGGTTATATTTTAGAAGGAGTACAAGCGCAAGGGGTGCAAAGTATCAGCATTTGGTGGTCTCTCCAGTTGCATGCCGCGCACTTTGCATGTGGCGCTGCACGTACCGTACCGCAGTCGATAGTGATATTACTCTATGATCGGTACTAACATGTTACGGCTTCCTTCTAGATTCTAGTGTATATACCCGCGATTCGCTTGGCTCGGGGCGCGTGCCGGTACCGCGCTGCGAGAGCGGGGTGGGAAAAGCTTCTGAAATTTATCTTATTATCTGGTGGGAAGATATTGTGTGATGCTGGGGAGGATCTCGAGAGGGGATAAGTTAGCCCTCTGGAATTGAGACCTTTGTTTTACGGTTTCTGGCTGGCTGGTCTTACGGAGACCACCGGGAAGGATGATAATAATAGCTCCCCGGGAGGAAAACGATATACCAATAGCGGCTTGTTGCTTGCTAACAGTAACGATTCGCGCCGGACCTTATTCGAGAGAGCACGGCTGGCCTACAAGGGCGACGGAACACGGAAGGACGGTGCGGGGGTAAATTTCCACTCACAAACCGGTTTAGCCAAGCTCGCATGATACCACTCGCAGAGAGTTGATTTGAAACGTTAAGGGATTGAGTATGCTCGTGTAAATTGGGGGATGAAAAAGAAAAAAGTAAAAATTTCACTTAGTTTATACCGTAGGGACGAATACTTTGTGCTATCAAGAGGCTTGGATTTTCTCGTCTGGGATTATAATGAATAACATTCCCAAACCTTTTCAGCATAGTTAAGCATCCAAAGCGGATAAACCCTCAAGAGAAGAGATTATGAACGCTGATTGCCGATATCTAACGCGATCCTTTTGCGTACAAAAGAATTGTAGCGACCGGGATATCAGTGAAGGGAAAAGGCAGGCTTAAAGATGGGCAAGATGGGATTCTGAAAGAGATACTGATCAGATGTGTACTGCGCGCGGAGGGGGGGGGGGGGCAGATACTGGTTCGTTGATATGTGTATAACATGGAAGCACTGAGGTGTTCCTGAATTACCATTTCCCGATTCAGGGGATTGTGGCTGACTCATTGGGGGGGGGGGGCTACAGGTATACTAAATGGGAAGAAAGAGTACCAAAATTCATACAATCTCACTCGGGTGGTTAAAACCGTCAAACTTCCGGAGCACTGGGGGCAGTCCTCCCTGTTGCAGATACCATCACCAAGCGAGCTCAGTAATCCAGACCTTATCCCTCTTGGAATAGGTTATGAAACTGGAAACCAACAGAAAATATACAACCAGTCATATGGAAGGAGGGGAGGGATATCGTTTGCCCCTTGCCCACATGGTCCCCAACATCACGCTTGGGAGAGCACATCCGCTGCACAGGCTTGTGGGCCAACCCGCGCTTCTGGCATTGCATCGTGCCTGCCTGGTGCCCGTTCTATACAGTACTGGTATCACACGAATGACTTCCGTCCAATCCATCAAAACACTTATACAGAGCTGTGTCTCCTAGTCACTGCCTCTGAGGTTACCATCTACGCCTTCTTCTTTGGGGAGACGGTATCTTACGGGTTATCTGTATCTTACGGCAGCGTGCATCGCTTTCTTTCCGGATTCCGGGGACTAATTGCGGAGTAGAATGTTGTTGGTTTTAGTGCGACAGCGTTTGTGACAGGACAGTTGATTCTGGGTTCGATTCTAGCTGGCCGGGATGGGTGATGTTTAAAGTGGGCTTGAGGAGGGACTCATAAACGATGAGGCAAGTCCTATGCTCGAGCTTGAGTAACTCACTAGCACCAATGGTACCGCGCTCCTACTCGAGTACTGTCGGTTCTGTAATGCTGGTAGTCTAACAGTCACAACGACCCGCCCAAGGAAAGATTTGGAAGACTTAAGCCCCTTTCCGTTCGATCCACCTTCCCCCTTCAGCCCAATTTCCAACGCTGAATTTTTCGTCCCTCCAAGACCGAACGTACCAGCCTAGAGCTCGATACCTACTAACAGCAGTCTCCGTGGCTCCTATCGCATATTATTTTGCATGTGTCTCAATCGGGGGTCCCCGGATATTTTCGAGTGTATGGTACGAGGTGTTCGTCGAAAATACTATGTCCAAGTTGCTAGCTTGCCTTCTGAGCCAGGACTGGAAGGAAACCTTTTACAAGCCGCCTGAGTGATCACCTATTTGATGGTACCCTCGCGGTGAAGAATGGACGAGTATATTTATGGGAGCTTGATCACCGCACTCGATAGGATTCACTGGCTGGATCGCGGGACTAATATTGCGCTAGATCTAGCCTAATACCACATGGAGGGATAAGGGAAGCAGAAAGAACAAGCTAAAAGTATTGTCCTGAAAGCCAGATATATGCTCTAATTTACAACTATTCTCCCTTCTCGGTACTGATTTTTCGTGTATACACGGGGCCAATCTTTGGTGTATACCCCTCGATCGCACGAACTCTGGAGCCATTCTCATCTGTCAAGATTAACTCTGGGGGGTTGGCCATGCCTGCTTCGTTCTTCCTCTCCTTGATATCGACGGACAAGGAATCGCTTTGCTTCGGCCCTCGAGTTTCTTTTTCAAAACTAATCCCAACCTCCATCAGCTCCTCCTCAAGCTTTTTAATATCTGCTTCCCTAGTGTTGTTCCATTTTGCCTGCCGTCTTTGCTCTTCCGCTTCCTCCAACAAGAGGATTTTAGACTCAAGCCCACCACGCCACTTCTCGCCCGTGAGGTCCAATCCCGAAACAGCACCTTTATCATCGACTTGAGCATCGCTAATTGTTTCTGCTCTGGTCCAAGCTGGCTCAGGGTTCAGTTGAATCCTCAGCCACAATCCCTGCCGGGCACAAATATCGCTGCAGAATCGCTCGAGTTTTTCTTTCTCCACAAACCTCATAGTTTTCTTCCCTTTGTTTACTAGGGCATAGGTAGACTTCCCTCCACCGGCTAACCTCTTAGGGGGGTTAGGGCATAGCGGGTACGAGCATTTATCACAGATCCTTCGCTCCTCCATTAAGGAATCGAAGTCCGAGGGTTGGAAGTAGCGGAGGTGGCATTTTAAATCGGTAGAAGTGCTGTCTGGAAGTGGGAAGTCTACCAATTGCTCCAAGGAGGTTAAAATTGAGAGCTCGAGGACTTTGCGGATTTGGATTGAGTGGGCGTGAGAGAGTGCAATTGCTCGGGCTTCCTCAGGAGTTGGGAGGGGCTTCGATTGGGGTGTTGGTGGACCCGTGCGAACAATCGTGCTGCCAACGACGGTTGTGGTAGGGGCAGAGGGTTCTCGGGTTTTCTTGAGAATTGATTTCGGTTGTTTCGCGGTCATGATCCGAGCACCGTAATTCAGGGGTGATTGTAGTGGTTTGTATGAGAGAGGGGTGATGGGGCGGCAGGTGGTGAGTGGGGAAGATGATGTGTTGAGGTTTTATTCGCTTTGTGCAAAGGATGACGAGGTCGGTTGACACAGGGGTTGTTACGGTACGGGTACTGGCACTGCAGTCGTTTTGTCCCAAAAGTGCATCAAATCATGTGCCTGGCTGATATCGCTTTGATCTGATAAGCGAAATCAGATCCCATAGCCCCTTCAGGTTTAGCCCTGGCCGCTAGACTAATTGGCCAATCAGCATCCTTGGACTGGAACTTTTGCCGCGGATTCTCGCCAAGACCCGCCACCAGATGCCACCTGCGCCGCTTTAAGCCACCCTGCGAGATCTCTTGATTTGGGTCAGTCTGCTTCCCCTCCATAATCTACCGGTACAAACGGGATCGGGGCTTCCCCTCGTTGCTCCATCACACAACCCTCTCTGTCAGCAGGAACCTCCATTTTTGCTGGTAATCCCTTACCTCGCCTCCCAAAGCACGTTCATCCTTTGTAACCTCCCTTGACAACCAAACATTTTCCGTTATTGTTGCTCTTCGGTTCCATATTGTTCCCTTCTTCTTAGTTTCTGCTACAGGTGAGGACTCCTTCAGGTGGCTCTGGTGGGGTATCGGTGATGTGATTGCTTCCGTGACGCGCTGACGTACGTTGACCAGGTCTTCTCCTATAGGCAGAGAGACCACCGGAAGCACCGAATCATCATTATCTAACTTACATCTCTGTCCGCTTTGTTGCCACCCACAATCTTATTCTCCACTGCCTGACGTCCATTTGGGCGGTGACTGACCCCTTGTCATGGCCAATACTTCCGCCCCACCGTTCAAGGTCAAGGCACTGTTCGACTACAACTCTCCACATGACGATGATCTCAACTTCCCAGCTAATGAAGTCATCACCGTCACCGAAGAGGAAGATGCTGATTGGTATTATGGGGAGTATCATGATAAGTCTACGGGGGAGTTGAGGCAGGGGATTTTCCCGAGGAACTTCGTCGAGAGAATCGTGGTTGAGCTCCCTCCTAGGCCGACGCGGGGTGGGGGCGGTAGGAGGAAACCGGTGGAGGAACATCAACCTGAACCTCCGGTCGAGTATCAGGATGACACCCCTCGTGTAAAGTCCCCCCCTCCGCCAGCTCCCGTCGCCGAACCTTCGCCCCCCGCCGCGCAGAGCCATTTGGAATCTCCAATTGCAGCTCCAAATGCTTATGAGACCCATACCGCCATCCACCAGGAGAAGCCGGACCCTGCTCAACCCGCCCCCTCGCCATCCGTAGCAAAGCCGGCCCCCGCATTCAAGGCCCCTCCTAAGCAGTCACCAGCACCATCTGTTGAGAGATTAGCTCCGTCATCGTCTAAACCCCCGCCTCTGGAGAAGCCATCTTCATTCAAGGACCGCCTTGCATTGTTTAATAAGGGTTCTGCGGCTCCTATTGCACCCTTTAACCCTCACAAGCCACCCGTCAATTTTATCAAGAAACCTTTTGTTCCGCCCCCCCCGAGCAAACACGCATATGTCCCTCCTCCAATTCAAAACGTACCAAAACCTAGGAGAGATGAGGACTCTAATTACGGCCGCCCGGATCCGGACGAAGCACCTGCGAGGGGCTCTACTGAGCAAGAGAGGGAGAAGGAGGATGAAGGGCCCAAAATGACGCTAAAAGATAGGATGGCATTATTACAAAATCAGCAGCTGGATCCTACCGGACTTGGATGGAGAAATAAGAGACCCCCGAAACCGAAACGAAATGAGGGTGAGAGAACCTTAGAAGATGATCAGTCTCATACTGCCCCCGAGGACAACCCCCACGAATACAAGTCTCACGATTCCACCGGACCCCAGGCTACTGAGAGGGAAGGGCTGGAGGTGGCGCCAAAGCCGAAGAAGAAGAGTGTCGATATTTCCCGCGAAGACACAGCTATGGAGGAGTCGAGTGCGGGCGATGCAGATATTTCTTCTGCCTCTGGCTATACTGGTGAGGAAACAGTTACTAGCAGAGGTCGTCCCCCAATCTCTTCTCATAGGGAGGATAAATCGGATGATGGGGACGATGAAGGTGCGAATGATGACACCCCAGATAACCCGGATTCAGATGATGAGGAGGTCGATCCCGAGGTAGCAAGAAAGATGGCTATTAGGGAGAGAATAGCCAAGATGAGTGGTGGGATGGGTATGCACGGCATGTTTGGCGGTATGCCCATGGGAGGACCCCCTCCACCGCCCCCAAAGAAGAAGAGTTCTTTGACCTCTGGGCCTCCCAAAGAGGAGGATGAGAGTCTTAGGAGGTCCTCGAATGACGGCGATGAGAGTGAAAATAAGAGTTCAAGCGATTACGCACAGGCACCACCAGTCGCCTTGCCATTTGGCTTGCCCAGAGTTCAATCCCCACCCGCCGCTGAGCAGCAAAGATCTGATAGCGAAGCTGAAGAGCTGGCTAGAGATATGAGTGGAGCAAGCGAAAGGATTTCTGAAGAGCATTCATGGGACGAGGTTGCAGATGCGGAAGATATCAAGCCACAACAAGGCCAGCAAGCGATCACCCCACACCCTCAAGGACCGAGGCCTATGCCGGGATCACCAATACTCGAGAAGAGGCATTCGCAGATCTCACCCCATTCGATACCTCAGGGTAAGTGCCCCCGCTTCGTATTATCTGGATTGGCCCGTTGATCAGGTAGCACCAGACCGGCCTGCACCACCCCCTATTCCGAATGAGAGGCCTGCACCTCCTCCACCTCCCAGCGAACGTGAGTTTATCATGACTACTCCCCTTTATCCATTTCTAAGCTAACTATCCTTATTTAGCGCCTACTGCGCAAATGCCACCTGCAGTAGCTCGGACACCTTCCGATGGATCTGTTTCTGATGATGAGCTTTCCATTCACACCGGTAAACTTAATATCTCTACTTCTGAGCTTGGAGAGCTTCGAGCAGCTCCTCCCCCACCACCTTCCGGACCTCCCAGCATTCCGAGCGGGCGCCCAGGCTCTAGCTACGATGCTTTATCACCCACGTCACCCACGAGCAAGCGCGTTTCTCAAGGCTACTTCAATGCTCAGTCCTCACCTACCGCCTCGCCAGTCACACCTGGGGGTCAGAACAAGCGAGCTAGCTATCAGAGGGCCGCTGGTACAATGCCTCCGATTCCCATGAGCTCTCCACCTTCCATGAGTCGTCCTCCCCCGCCACCACCTCCCTCCGGACCCCCTCCCAGGGCTAGTGTAGATGAGTCTCGGCCGGATCTTGCAGGAAGTCAGGGACAATCTGATACTGAGGAAGAAGTGACCGAGTATGAGGCAGATTATGATACGGATATTGGAAATAAGGTAGCGCATAGAGATGCACTGAAGGGCAAGGAGGTCGGAAGGCGAGATAGTTATGACGATGGTGACGGGGGAGCACTTTTGCCCCCATCTGTTACTAGCCCCCACGCACCCCCTAGGAACGTGCCACTACCTCCACCTCCGGCCCCACCATCCAACCCCCCACCTTCTAGGAAAGGGCGGCAATCAATGGATATGCCACGAGCCGCACCCCCACCCCCACCGCCAGCCCCACAAGCTCAAGAACCAGAGCGATATGAGGACCATGATGACTATGATCCTTACAATTACGAATCTCCTCGTCTTGCTTCTCCACCTCCTCCGCCTACATCTGGGCCTCTTCCGCCACTGCTGCACCAGGTGCCCCCCTCCCAACGAGACCAGCCCCGAAGTAGCACCGGCAGACAATCTATGGATTCCTCTAGACCCGCAGCTGGTAGGCGCTCAATGGAACAAGGTCGACCGGTTGCGGAGTTTATTGCTCGGGATGTCGATTTAGGAGAACGATCTCAGTGGTGGAAAACCCCCAAAACTCCTCCTCCTATCTTTCAAAATCGCTCCAAGGAACTCCATTTTGAGGTTGAAGAATCCACCTCAACCCGGCGCGGCGGAAGAACTACAGTGACCAAGGATGTTTACGTTCTTTTCAACGATTATTCACAAACAGTTGTGACCGCCCGCTACGATCGCGATGATCCCGCCAACGCATCCCTTGAGCAGCGACACGAACAGCCTCCGCCAAATCCTCGACAGGACCAGCTTGAGGAGTTTCAGACTAAATACGGCGCAAATATTTATGTTGGAGCTAGATCCCGCGAGAATACTGTCGTGGGAGACGGAGAGCCCCATACATTGATTCATGAACTATTCAAACTCGTTCCCAATGCATTGAGTCCTGCCGGTCACCGCTCATATGGTGCCCTTGTATATGCCAACCTTGCAAATGCCAACACTATACTGAACGATGAGATCAGAGCTGGAGATATCCTTACGTTTCGAAACGCAAAATTCCAAGGACACAAAGGAGGCCTACATCAGAAGTACTCAATGGATGTTGGGAAGCCGGACCACGTCGCAATAGTTGTGGACTGGGACGGAACAAAAAAGAAGGTCAGGGCCTATGACCAAGGTAGAGAGAGTAGAAAAGTCAAAATCGACAGCTTCAAGATAGGCGACTTGCGCAGCGGGGAAGTCAAAGTCTGGAGGGTTGTTGGACGTGATTGGGTCGGATGGGGCCAAGGAGAGCAATGATAATGTAGCATTAGTTAGATAATTGCAACCCGCGGGGCGTCTCTCGTTGAATGTGATGAGGGGAATTTTGTTCTTTTCTTCCTTTTCTTGTCAGTTTCTCGGAATCGGACTTTCCGCCTGGTTTTCTTTTTTCTTCTTTTTTCGATGCTGATAATGAGTGGTGTGGTTGGTGCTCCGGGAGGGCTTGGTTGTGCTGAATTGAAATTCTCCTGATATCATTCGTTATATTGCACTTTTATTTCCTTTGGTTATGCAATGTTTGGGCTTTTCGTGGGTAATTAAGGGATGGTAATGCTAATTTATTCCCTCGGGAGGGTGCCCTTCGTCCTACGGCGATAAAATCTTGTGTCTGAAACCCGAGAGAGGGGAGGTGGACAAGGTCCGACTCTTTTTGCATCTAGGCAAGACGGGTCTTCGTAGGCTCCATGGAGCATAATGTGTGTTCTGAGGGAGTAAAACTTCTTGTGAGTATGTTGAACCGTTGCACAAGAACCGGTCCGCGTTGGATTTTCTTGCGGATGGCGCAACAGTTGGTGACACCCTGGCAGCTGGGTATCATAGACGGAAACATGTTTTGTAAAGGTCAAGAATATCTTTCGGAAGGGGCCCCAAGGCCATATTCCTTCTTCACACCCAACTTACAAGTCAATTTTTGCGTAAAGTTGGCCAATGATCCCCTCCCTCTCACCGTTTTTAGAGCACCGGGTTAACTTTAACCTCCCCCCTAAAGTCTGATGGCTTGCTTTACGGCTGGCGGTACTGTACTCGTACTGTTTCTTGGTCTTGGATGGCAACCATCACTCTTGGTTTACCCCTAGGTAAATTGTACTCGTAGCAGGCTGTGAATAGTAGACCACTCGTATACAAGCAGTAAATAGTGCACGGTAGTCTAGAACCGAGAAACATACCGCGAGCCCAAATACCGGCAGACTATACGAGTACTTGCGGGTTAAATTAGAGGCGAACCGAAAGTGGCGGCTGCCCCGTCCAAGACTGTAGCAGTTACCTGTACTGTACTCAAGCATTGTTTGGCGCGGGCCAGCCCATCCGAGTAGACTACCGGTACGAGTAATTACGTAGCTGGGCTTTAGTCTACACTCTAGCCAACTCGCCTTGAATGATCGTTACCGTATTAGGCTCGAACAGCCTGTATGATAGCTCCTACAGTACTAGTACTAGTATATGATAGGTGAGGCTTGACCCGGCTTAATATTTTAGTGTGTCACTCACACAAATTTAGAACATCTCCGTCGTGCACAGTGCACTATACTCGTACTCGAGTACGGGACGGTACCGTACTCGAGTACTCGTGTGCATCACACCCACACGATCAGAACGGATAACTGCATGCCTATGAAAGATTTTCCCGTTTTCCCGTTGCTTGATTTCTAAGGTTCCTGGTCGATCCTCATGAAAGCAAAACCAACCCTAGCCTCCTGTCCTTTTATTTTTATTTTTTATTTTGGGTATCCTGCTGCTAATGGTATATGTCTAGGTACGCTTTGTCGTTTTTCAATGCTCACTTTACCGGATTTCCGAGCTCTGCTCGCTCTCGGATAGTTTACCGTAACCTCCAGGTAAGGGTTTGGGGGGGGGGGGGCATTTGCTGGAGCGGGGATGTCTTGGTTCGTACTTGTTTGATATGTAAGAGATGTTCACCTGGATTTCGGTTTGTGGGCATGGGCAAATTGTTCGATGCTTGGAGATATGGTATGATACCATCAATATACTAGGGGTTTTCAAAGTTAAAAACATGATTTTTCAGTAATGAGTAAATGCCAGAAGTTGCATGAGCTTACTTTCTGGTATCAGCCAATAGCATCCTCATGTTCCAGGTACCATATTTGAAAGTTCTGGGGTAACTGAAGACGGAGTATAAAGGTTATGGTAAATCTTACAGAGATGGTAAGAAACCAGTTTTTGTTAACAAAATATCAAAAGTCAGAAGATTTTTATCAGTGAGAGTACATAATTATTCCTGGGATGTGCTATGGTATTTTTTAAAATTGGGTTTTGATTTTTAAAATTTTTTCTTTTTACATCATGTCTGATTTTAGAGGATTGGTAAAGCTGTGTAAAACCAGGACCAGTATCCGGTACCGACCTCCAGACCTCCGTCTCTACCCTATGGTATGGTAAAGTTAAGTAACAGTAAATTAACCATTTCTGTGCATGCCAAGTTTACATAAAACACCAAAGTAAGCTAAAATTTTGCTACCTTTTTAACTTTGAAAACCCCTACTAGAAACATACTCGCATAGTGGGTTACCTTCTAGGACAAAGAGGTGATGGTATTCACGGATCAGAGGGTTAAAGGATTCCCAGACTTTTACATTCTTAAGAAATTCGCTAAGTTACTTCTTGCAAACAATTTCCCTTCTCGCAACCCCTTCGAAACCTAGCGCTCCTCTCCATTCCGACTGCTGGTACCGGTAATCCTTTTTCCTCAAGGGGCGGGGGGGAAAGTGACCCCCAAGATCCACCACTAGTTGCCGCTTACATTTATGAAAGGCGGTATCGTATTTAGCGGGGGCTTGCGATTCCTCAAAGTTCCGCCCTTCCTCAAAGATGGCTACAACCCACTCTTTGAAAGCAGCAACCAACCTCGAGCCCATGCTATCGTCGGTATGGACCACCAGGGCACTCTCTAAACAGAGTAGGACTGCATCTCGATACTTCTGCCCCATAAAGTGCCCTAACCTATCCCATGCGTTTTTCACCAATACTTGCTGAATGATGCTTGGGGTGGTCCTCACCGCCGGGTCAAGAAGTTTAGACGTGGGTTGCCAAAGCCCGAGCTCTAGGAGCATGACCCTGAAGGCGTACATGTCGTGCATCTTTCCGAACGCCTCTGTAGGCAAACCTGGGCGGGCCAGATGGCGGTATAAATCCTAATGGAGACCTTTCCTCTCGATGACTTCGTTCGAAGCCTCCGCACTAGGACATGCATATTCAAAACCGCAGGGGTAGCGCGGGTCAAAGTCCAACCACTTGTGTTAGCGGAAAAACAATATATTCTTAGAGTTGATACTTTTGTGAACCAGGCCTAGAGGAACCATTCTAGAAAGGTGTGGCCGATGTTGTGTACTATGGTGAAATGCTGGCCCAAGGTTGGCCGAGACCGCCCTGTCGGGGGGCTGATGGCTTTATAAAGGCTCATTGGCTCTGATCCACAGTCCTGGGGAAGCGCAAATGCTAGACTATATCAACTCTCTCTGGGCTCATGAATAAAGCCAAGACAATGGAGTGTAAATTTGTTGGAAGTTCTGAAAGGCGAAAAGAAGCAGGAGAATCGGGGATACTGTGGTCTACTTAGAGTGAATAAAAACTCCAGAACCAGCGAATCCGGCAGCGCATGAAAACAACTCTTGGACTGGCTGATGATTTCCTCTAAAGTCATCCTGATCTAGACTCCCAAACCACCCTCGACCTCCTGTATGAATCTCCCCTCAAGAAATAGTTTACCGAACGCTGACAGAACGGCCAGCAGGCTGCCTATTCGAAGCCGTTCCACTCGGATCTGGGCGATACCGATGACTCCTGCTATCAGTTGCGCTCACGAAAACCGCCCCGTGGCGGTTGCAGGCGCCGGTACAATATTGTACTCGAGTACAAGTATAGCGCTAGCGCTAGTGTGGCGGGACACATTTTTCTTCACAATTTGGCAGATATTTCAACTTTCGGTAGAAACCGCCAAATGTGGACTCGCGAATTGTAACCCTAACCCACCTGAATGAACACCTCACTCACTGGCAAGGGAGATGCCAAAGAGCAAGGTCCTCAATTCCAACACATTTCCGGATCCAAAAAATCCCAAATTCGTCATCCCCACTCCTGCCTGTTTAAAAAAATCCCAAATTGCCACTCAGTATATCCGCACAACACCCGCATAGCCCCCAGCACGATCCTTACCATGGAACCAGACGATTCCGAAACACCCCCAGTTAGCCCTGGCTTCGATCCTTCGAGATGCCGGGTTCTGCGTGAATTCTTGCCTTCTGGCGAAACCAAAGGGTCCTCTGGTCCAGTAGTTTCAAGCCCTCACTCTGGTGACCGGGGGAATCTTCAGGATTTTGTTAGGTTGATGAAATCCGCAAACGTGGAAGGGCCACACTTTCTGTCTCATGTTCATCTGGGCTGTAAAAGGTTGGGTTCGGGCGCGCAGTTCGACGTATTTGGCCACCAGCACTTTGTCCATGACACCTTTCCACCTTTTGATCTACCGTATGTTTCAAGGATTCAGGGTTCTGGAAAGGCACCAGTGGCTGTTGCTGTCAAACGAGCAAGATTTATGCATAGCTATGCAGGAGCACCAATATCAACATCTCAACAATTTGGCTTTGGGACTCCTGAACAGTTTCGTGCCTTGATTTTGGAGGTCTGCGCGCTCTCAAATCCCGCAATCCACACCCACCGAAATATTGTTAAGTTACTAGCTTGGGGTTTTGATTTTGGTGACGGGGGTGCTAGTGTTGGGCTGCGCAGCCCGTTGCTTATTCTTGAGCATGGAAATTGTTCGCTGCGACACTTCCTCTCCAATCACAAGAGAGAAATACCGAACCCTCCTGAACAAGTTCTCCAGAAGTTGGGACTTGATGTCGCTCGGGGGCTGAGCGCGCTTCATGATGCCGGGATCATCCATGGTGATATTAAAACAGATAATGTGTTGGTATTTCCTGCTGAAGCACCCTTTTTCTGTACTGCCAAAATTTCGGACTTTGGGTTCTCTGTCCTGAATATGGAGAAAGATCAGAAGATTTATAATATCGGAACTCCCGGCTGGCAAGCCCCGGAGTTGGATGATGTTGGTGTTAGCATTGGTATGTTGACAAAATGTGATTATTTCTCGCTCGGGCTTCTCATCCTACGAACCGTTGTTCGTGTCTGCGACGGCTACCAAAAGGCTGGCCTCGAGCAAGTGAGCGACATGCTAAAGTGTGCAAATATTTCTCAACCAACCCAAAACTGTATGCGTGATGTCATGCAATCTTTACTGCCGAGCCTGCCCCAGGAGAGAGCGTCAGATCTGAGGAACGTTTGCAACCGACTCTCACAGGTAGATCAGCAGGGGCTCGACCGAACGGGCAATTGGTACGTACGAGAGCCCTGTAGCATCAAAGGAGGTGGTAGTTTATAATAAAATAGGGTTCAGGGCCGGTTCGATCACGATACGCCCTTGGAGGAGTATGAAGCCCCGGCGGACGGCTCACCTATGGCTCTGGGAATCCTTCAACACTTTCAGTCGAGGAACAAGGAAAAAGGGATCCTACCCTTGAAGAAAACAGATGGCCCAAACTATTCTTGGCTACCTATATATAAGTTCCTCGAGGAGGTTGATACCGATACATATGCTAAGATTGCATCCCATTACATTAATGGGATTTATGAGGTATCTCGGAACCCTCGGGTAAATATATCTGGGGATCTGGTGGGCCAGGAAATCAGTGGATATCAGTTGTTGGGATTGTGCTTCTCAGGGCGACTCGATGACCCGAAGTCAGATGTTGACCGAGCAAGGGTGTATCGGAGGAAACGGGGTGCATGTGCTGTGGTGTCAGCTATGAGAGGTTACTTCCCAGCCCAGGCGATCTGCAAGCAACTCCTGGAAAACAACAGTGGTAGGTTTCGAGAAACCTTGGAAGCTAACGACACCCAATGGCAACGAAACGCCGTTGCGTCGGGCTTTCTCCTTTCCTGGAAGTTTGCGCATGAGCACCCGGGGGAATATGCGCTCGCCCTATCTGATTTTCGTCAGTCGGGTGGATACAACGCACATTACGCCTACAATACGATCGAGAAGCAGAGCGCATACGGTCCGTCTGGTCTTCTCTACGACGTCCAAGGCCCCCTCGAGTGGCTCGGAAACTATCCACTTCACAGGGCAGCTGCCCTTGGGCAGGCTGCTGAGGTCGGACGCCTAGCAGAGAACGGGTATGATATAAACTCCCTAGATATTAGCGGTGAGACACCACTCCAAAGGGCATGCATGGCCGGCCACGCCTCCACCACCCGTTATTTAGTGCAAAGGGGGGCCGATGTAACTCTGAAAAGCATACTTCTTGGGACCGTACCACTGCACTGGCTTTTCGTTTTCGAGCCGAGTGAAGTCAACGATGTTGCGGATATGCTGGTGGGGTTGGAGAAAGAAAACCTCGAAGAGGAGTCCAATATAGAGGCAGATGCATTTCACTTCCCATTCAAGTGGCCCTCCGGATCGCCGATTGCCTGGAGTGTTCTTTCAAACAGATATGAGGCTGTCTCGGCACTCTTGAGGCTCGGGTCCTCACTTGACTCAATACCGGATTTCTTCCCCTCTTTACCCGACTGGCCTGAAGACGCCGATTCCTATGATATGTGCTCCAACAACAGGCAAAACCGAAACCTATTCAAAATCTGGATATACAAACCAATTCTGCAGTATCAGCACCCCATATGCCAGAACTCCTTTGGATATTTGGTAAAGCGTAGTGAACTAGGGAATTTAGAAAAGATTAGTAACGGGCTGGATTCAGCAGTTGTGGATGGCCATGGCAGCGAGTTAGAATCGGCAGCAGCCGGGGGAGACTTGGATGCTGTCCAGCGACTAATTAATTGTGGCGTCGATTCAGACGCTTCGCTAAGCAAGGACACCCCACTGCAGACCACCATTTTCGCAGGAAACCTAGATAGTGTTAAGTTGTTACCCAACAATGGAGCGAGTGTTGATTTTCCACCGGGTGCGTTCGCCGGGAGCCCACCGCAATGGGCAGCGAAAACAGGGAACGTGCAGATTACGAGCATGTTGCTCGATGCCGGGGCCGATGCGAACAGTCGGTCCCAGAAACCAGAGCTGCAGAGACAGCTCTCTACGAGGCATCAAGATTAGGTGGGTTGGACATAATGAGATGTTACTCGCATGAGGTGCTGATTGCAGTATACTTGTAGTTGCGAGTGCGGCCGATAAATATATTCGTCACGTGCCTTATCTAAGGGCACACCGCAGCCAAAAGGTGCACCGAAATTTTCTTACCAGACTCACGTGAGGAATATATCCATCGGCCGCACTCGTAGAGGACCACACGGGGACGCTGCCCCAAAGGGCAGCATGCGCGGAGGAAACCAGTCCCTGGAAGGTTAAGCGGTGTTCGGTGCACCCTGATTTGGACTCTGAAACTACTGTAGGTCTTGGTAATTTTGGCTCAAATTGATAAAATCGGGTAGGATTAGATAATACTTGTATCATAATAATTAGTGTTAAAATCGCCAAAAATCCTATTTCAAAATCCAAATCAGGGTGCGCCAAACACCCCTAAGTTGCTGGCTAAACACGGGGCTGACCCAATCTTGAGAGCTGAATATCACGAGACAGCGCCACAGGAAGTAGCGCCCATAGGAAAGGCGGAGGTTGTGAAAGCCCTACTCGAAGCGGGCGCAGATCCGAATATTGGAGGGGGGCACCTCTGGACTGCATCGCTGGCGGCAGTGGCCTGGGAAACCACTAGAACCATCAATGTATTGCCGGGGGTGAATGCTATGGGTGGAGACCATGGGACCGTGATTCAAGCAGCGGCGTCGGGAGGCGATGAGAGCTTGTCGGGAAGTCAAGACGCCCAGGACCATTACCGAATGCGAGGGGTGGTAAGCATGAAAATTCCTCGCAAGCAGCAACTTGCACGGGGAATCCCAAACTCGTCCAATTACTTCCAGGGGCTGGAGCCGACCCTGACATTTGGGGGTGCATACCGGCGCTACAAGGAACCCGTCGGAGGCCCGCTGGGGCGGCGTTTGCAAGAGGTTTCTGGGGGGGCTGATTTACGATCCCGGGGACCTCCCGGACACGATATTGCGCCAGGCACTGTATGATACCTGCCGCAGGTATCTGCCAAGAACTATAACCCTCTGTGGATGAGAAAAAAGTATAGTATAGGGAGCCTACCTCGAATCCCTATAGAGAGTGCTCTAGCATTAGGCATCAAAACTCGCTAGATGAATTTCGGGATCCAGAGCCACGATAATGGGAGTGTCAAACACTCCTGGCGGGGCGGACGTTATGCAGAAAGCGACATCTTCGAAGTAAAAGTGTATCCTGCTCTCGCCACAATTCACCGAATTCGCCTACAAAAGGATTTCTACAGTTTACAATATTTACGCACCCATAAAGCAACATGGGACATATAGTGCACCCATGCCCGGGACAGTTGAGCGTTCCCTTTCTCTTTTCTTGCGGAACCTCCAGGGCACCCCAACATCAACTGCGCCGAATCGATGGAGGCACAAATACTCTACTATTATTCTAACGAGCGGAAGGGCCCAATTTCCACGCCTAGTGCGAGGGCGTACAGCCGAAAACAAGGCTAGCATGGAGGGGAAGGATCTTACACCCAAACCCCCCATCTCCCCAATAACCAAGGCACCATAGAATAAGCTCTCCCACCCCTTCCATCCTTCAATACTCCCGGCCATCAACCGAATCCCGTTCGCACCACAGCAAAAGCAGCAAAATACCAACCTTCTCGGCCACTTTTCCGCCCACCTCCACAACACCCCCCACCCGATCTATGATACCCGGAAACACTATCCACCACACACCTCCTCTATACCTTTACCCCGCTTTCACACCCTCCAGACCTCGTCTAGATCTAGGCTCTTGCACCTTCGGCACGGCACGCCGGGAATCCCTCACCTCCATGCTCACGCGGCCAACGAAACAGCGAAATCTACCTCCGTAAGCGCACGAGAAACATGGTTGCCGTCGAGGATTTACCCGTCCACAAGAAGGGGAAGTAGACATATCAATAACGGAGAAAGCAGTGCACCAGTTCGACAAAGACTGTTTCGGGCTGAGGTGATAGCACACTGATTGTATACCTTGAGTGGGATGTCCGGACTTTGCATTCCGGGAGTGAGGGAAGATGTCTCGTCTGGGCTCACGACGGGGGGTATTCTTTGAGAAGCAGTACGGGCCGGGCAATCCGGGCCTAACCCCCCCCCCCAAACACGCAATTCTAGGCCGCCAAGGGGGGCGTCGGGATGGATGACAGGGCATTGGTTGGATGGGAGTGTATCTCGGGGATGAGCAGTGAGATAAGAGGAGTTCCGGAAGAGTATTCGAGGATTGCGGTCCTGGGTATAATGCGGGTTCCTCGAGGAGGGAGGCGGGGGGAGGAGGACATGAACAAGAGAAAGGTCTCAGAGGGAGTAGGAATCTGGCGGATAGGATGTTTGATGGTGTTAGTAACGCATTGAAAGAGTGGAAAGCAGGAGTAGGTGGAGTTGCTGGTTCAGATCGGTCGCGAATTTTTTTGCGCTGAAGGGTGGGGTGATTGGCTGTTTGTTAGCTGAGATCCGTGATATCCGTAGATTAGTGTTTCGAAGGGAATTCGCTCTCCACTCAATGAGGAACAGCGGGTAAAAAAAGGATGAACCGTATTCTCTCGTTGGGAGGGTTGTTAGCGTTCCTAAACGCACCGCCTGAAATCTCTTCATGATGAGTTCAAGCAAGGACTTGAGAATATCCGAGTGAGTCACAATGACTCAATCGGTCACTCAGCTATTGTAGATTGCATACCCACAACCCTCAACCTCCAGCGAAATCACCACTGCAATAAAAACACAGACCCACAAGGCTCCATTGTTGCTGGGTGGAAAGGGGTCGGCATTTTATTACAGTTCTATCATTACATTGAGAGTAGAGATCTATTAGCCCAATCCATCCACCCATCTATTCCCTTGTTCCGTCGCACCCCCTACTTAAATGCTGCTTCTACAGCTCCTTCTCCTTCTTTGAAACCCCGCTGCGGCCCGTTGCCATATGGTACCCTTTCTCAAACACCCATTCGACCCCCTGCTCAATTGGATGATCAAAGATATAAGGAAGTGCGGGGACGACTGCTAGGCCCAGTCCGACAGGCCCCCAAGTCCTAATCATAGGATTCTTGTGATTTTTCAGGGCACGGCCAGAGTAGCGTACGACCTACCGCCCACCTCATGATCAACACTAGGAGAGCGAAGAGGGGAGGGGGAAATAAATACTGAATGAATAGTGAAAGCCGGCAAAGCCATACTTGCCAAACTCTGGAACACGGCCCGCTGAACCATCACGGTCCTGTAGTCCTCCAAGAACGGCACGTTACCCTTCGGATGCAACTCCACTTTCGCATACTCCGTATCCCCATCCTGCACAGCCTTCTTCTTATCCCCACTCTGCTGGTTCCTGATCATGTGTGCTGGTTGTAAGAACACCGGCACGTCAGTCACTCCCAAACCCCCGCGTAAAGTGGCCTGGTTTGCCAGATAGGCTTTGTACCCCTCGTTCATGACGTCCCCGGTCAGGTATGCCCACGAGATCCCGTACGCTGTACGGACTAGGTTTGGATGTGTCACGGGACGGAATGACTCGCCGACATCGGAGGTGTAGGCTACATATCTTTGGGTCGCGTGCATGATTGTCCGGATACGGTTTGCGTAAGCGGCCCACCGGAGATTGGTGTCGGTGGTGTCTGGGGCTCTTGAGGAATGGGGTTAGTATTTTTAGTTTTCTCGTTCTTCCCGCAATGCCATATGGGAGAAGGAAAAGGACACATACTCTCCTTCATAGACCTTCTTGACGATTGAATCATTAGGCCCGGTTTTTGGAGGGTCGGGGTTTGATGGGGCGTGGGGGGACATGGTGGATTTTGCTTGTTCCGTGGACTTTGAGTTGAAGTGTTTGTGTGATGGGGATCGATTGCGGGGTGTTAAATAGTGGGGAGGAGCGGGAAAGAGATCTGGCAGGTTGTGTTTGGTAGGGCTGCAGAGCTGTAATGTGACGTAAACCCTCTTGGGGAATGGGGCATTTGGCGGTCTGGGCCCTAAATTTAATATTTACCTGGGTATTGTGGCTCAACCGTATGACTAATATCATCAGCCACAGTACTCGCACCATACTCCGAATGGCAATCCCGTCCGCTTCACTCCACCCTCATCCGCAATCACCCATTCCTCCATCTAGACTATCCATCTATTCATCCCTTGATTGGCCCTCTCACCACCAAGACGTTAAGAAGAGAAACCGCCGACGCTCTCACAATGGTTGCAATGTACACTGTCGCGGGCCGACAAGTCGGTTCCCACGTTGTATGTGCCCGAAATCCCTCTCTTCGTGCTTCTTTTGGTTGATTGCCGGTCCCGCAGCTCGCAATGGCAACCCTTGGTACTACCTTCGCGTTATCGGCATTGGCAATGGGTGGGAAGAAGACTCAGACTACCCCTCCGATTCAAGCTAGTAGCAGTGACGAGGAAAAGTTCATCAAGTATGTTCTACTCTTCGGATGGACGGGCGATTATTAGATGAGTGGGATGACTGACTGACGAATTGTCTCGAATAGGGAATTTCTAGCAAAGGCCGAGGTGGAATCGAAAGCAAACCATTAAGTGTGGGATACCAAAGAGATTGGTGGATGGCGATGAATGGAATTCCCAGAGTTGCGTGCATATCACGCTATGGAGGTCGATAGATTTTTGAAGCAAAAAAAAATCTTTCTCACCCCGACACTGACCGCGGATCAAAGAGGAATCAAAATGACGGGTGCTCCAAGTCTCGGAATAGTATTCCCTTATAACCAGACAGATATAATATCTATCTATCGGAATTCAGGTCTAAAAGTACAAAATAACCTTCGTAAATAGTAATAGAGATAGAGATTGCGGACAAGTCGACTACAATTCAACCGAATATCCGCCCTTGTCACCGAAATGAGCCTGTCCCAACTCATAAGCCAGCCCCAAAGTCAACTTAGCGTGTTGAAGCATGTGATCGAAGGAAAGATATTCAATCTTGTCCTCGGTAGTGTGGATGTGATCATCAGAGTCTAGGATATGTTAGCAAGGTGGATTCAATCTCAGTAGGCAAGTGATGGCAAACCAGAGAAGGCACTCTCGATCACGAAGGCGCTGGGGTACCCGGCCTTGCTGGCGCTAGCGTGATCCGAGCAAGCATACCCGCACTTGGTCAAGACATATGGGATATCGCAGTACTCAGTGATAACCTCCTTAATGAACTCGGTCAAGGCGGGGTCGACGTAATCGGTGATGACTCCGACGCTCTCAGGCTTCCCAGCATCAAGGGTCTTTTTGACAAACCCGGTCATATCCTGCTGCAACATGGCAACAACTTCGCGTCCCATCCTCTCGTAGGAGCTGAAGATGGCCTGGCTTCCCCACAATCCGAGCTCCTCAGCAGAGTACCAGTGAAACTCAACAGTGTTCTCCAACTGCTGGCCAGTCTTGGCAAGGTGAGTGACCAAAACGCGGAACGCCTCGAGAATTGTCACAGTTCCGGAACCGTCGTCATCAGCTCCGGGAGCGGCAAGGACGGACGGAAGGAAGAGGTTAATGGAGTCCTGGTGAGCACCAATAACAACAGTCTTCTCGGTCTTTCCGGGAATCTTGGCGATGATGGAGGACTGGATCCAAGTGTGCGGGAAGGGCCTAAGCTCAATAGCAGGCAGCAAGTGAGCCGCGGTTTCATTGATCTTCTTCAACAGCCATTCCGATGACTGACGACCAGTGTCTGACTATACTACCGTTAGCAAGGGCGCACAGCGCACAGGGACATTTGTAGGGGGAATTACCATGGCATAACGGGTGTAGAAAGAGGTAAACTTCTCCAGGTTTCCCTGCATCTTCTTCTTATCAAGCTTCTCCAAGAGGGGCTTGACCGTCTTCTGTTGCTCAGGCTTGGAAGGGTACTTGACGGCCGGCTTCTTTTGCGACGCGGTTCTAAAGGCGTTCTCATATCCGAGATGCTGATAGTCGGTGACATCCATGAAGTTGAAACCTTGCTACAAACAAACAAACCGCCACTATTAGCTGTAGCAAAGTTGGGAGAAGTCGCCAAACTCTTACCCTCTTGAGCTCAAGCTTCTCCTCTTCGGTAACCCACTTGGTCTCGGTGGGGCTAAGATGGATCAACCTCTTTTCCGGAGTCTCCTGTGTGGAAACCCCTCTGGGCTTGCTGGTAATAAACACGTGTTCCTGCTCCGGAGAAGGAATCATAATAGCTCCTGTGAGCTGTGAGACGGACGCAAGTGAGAGAAGGGAATACGGAATAAGCGACTTCATGATCGCAGTTTATTCGTAGGGCTTGTGGTAAATGAAAGAAGGTTCTTTTCTGAAGGTTATAAGGGTGTTGTTGTGATGCCCTCCGTGATTAATCGAGATGAGTTGAGGAAGTAGGGAAAGGCGGAGTACGGTAGACTAAGGCGCAACTGGAGGCGGGCCTCCCGGAGGCTGTCCTTCCTCGTAAATTTATCCAAAGTGGGCTGCCTGCATGCATCCAACACCCAACCGTGGATTCGGCTTGGCCCAATGAAGCCGCTGGATCAAGAGCGATGATAGCTGGGATCTAATCTTATCTTTGTTGCAAGACGATGAGTTCTACCGTAGACTATGAAATTTACCGCACTATTCGCCAAAACTTCAACAATCTCCTGAAGCTTTCTCTCTTTCTTGTTTTGGCGCAAGCGGTAATGTTCGTACCACGGTAAGTCCAACATTCCCCAGTTACTCGGGCCCAAATTATACTGACTACGGAAAAGGGTCTACACCTACCACTGCAAGTTTTGCTCAAACCTCTTCCTAGCCTCAACACACGACTTCAAGACGCTCCCGAAGCGTAAGCCTCCGGGTCGCGATAGGGCAACCATAGTCCCTCTCCCCCCACCACCGAAGTCCGAAAAAAAAGAGGATTCTTCCGATGCTGAGTCATCCGAGGGGAGCTCCTCATCCTCGGAATCGGAATCCGAGACAGAGGCAGAAGTCGTGCCCAAACCAGAAGCCTCCTCTGAAGAACCTGCGGAACAAAAAGAACTAAATTCCAACAGACCCCCACCCCCGACTGCCCCCTTCGGTCCTGAAAAAACTGCTCTCACAGAAGACACTGAAGTGACTAAGGGTGGCGCCGGACCACCACCTAAACCCCCCGTTACTCGCCGGAGAAGAGATAAAGACGACGACTACACGCTTCTACTCTCACTCACTAAAGACCGGTCCGCAAAAATTATCGATCGTGAAGATGGGTTCGAGAAGAGGTGGATATGGCGGTGTGGAAGGTGCAGATTGATCGTTGGGTATCAACTTGACGACGCGCACTTCTCACCGACCTCGAACACCCACCCGAACACCATCGCTACGACGGGCGTGATGGGTGGCGACGCTGGGGCGGATAAGGATCGCGCAGAGAAGGAGAGGAAACGGGCGGAGAGGAAGAGGAAGAGATATTTGTACATACTCCCAGACGCGTGCGTTTCGACGGGGGAGTTAGGGGAGACGGGTGCGAGTGGGCGGTAACGATGTGGACAAGAATTGATTCTGAAGGGTTTATAACTAGTTGGCCTTACTCGTATTTCCTGCCAGTTCCTCACTCTGGCTGCTCACTGTAATCAAAATAATATCACACCAAACCTTAGAAACACAAAGAGAACCCCCTGGCTTGGATCATCCAAGGTATAAACCGCCCAAGCCAATACAACACAAAGCTTTCTCCTCTCCGGGCGATCCCATATATATAAACCCACGCACTTGATCCTGCCAGCAACCACTGGGCTTCGGGAACGCTAAACTCCCTTCCACAGGCAAAGCGTTCATCATCGAGAACATCCACTTGCCACCCCTATTACCACATCACCCTAACAGTCATATTCCCCCGACTCCGGCCTCAATCGGCCAGTGTATGATGGTAAAACTTCCCATCGTGTGTGATAACATACCGGTACAGCCAGTCCGGATTATACGTGCACCACGGAATGTCGAGCGTATAACGACACCCCATTCCTTCCATTCCTGCCATCCCCCGCCGGCCGCTCTGGAGCCATGGCAGAGAATTGTGCCGTGAAACTTTCCTGATGGGGTGAGATATCCACCCACCACGAGGCTTCCCTGTATTCCCTTTTTTTTTTGAATACCCTTGGTGATGTCGTAGCCTGTAGCTAGTGGGTATTCGCGGGTCCAGGCCTTCGGCTGTCCTGTTGACTTGGGTAAACTTAGCGTATGTGCCGACCGACATTCATAAGGACCTGCCCGATATTGTAGCAAGTTGAGGCAACGGGAAGGCAAAAGTCGGGGGTATGGAGTACTGCACGGTACTGGCCCATTTGTAGAACTTGTGTTGCATGAACTTCTCTGGGAAATCGCCCCTTTGCAGTCTGCCGCTTTTGACTTTGTTGGGGGGGGGGGGTATGGCCACAGGCCACCGTCTTCTCTACTGCGGAATCGCAATCCTGGAGCGTTGGAGGCCTCGAGGTGACAAATCTACGGCAAGGTAATTGAGTGAACTAGCTTGTCAGTACACAATGCTCTGCTTGTTTTTGTTTGTTTCTAAACTTTCTGATTACATGAGCCGGATGTGATAGACCAATTTCATGAAAGGTCAAAGTGTTGTGGCCAAAATTGGAAGTTCACATCGTCTGATAGAGCCGCAGCCGCCGCCTTATTACAAGGGGACTATGGCACGAATTGCAAACTTATTGCCGAGCACGGCGGTTTATCCGGCCCAATGGGACGTCAAGTACGCAAGGGACAAGAAAGTAAGCGGTGGAACCCTGGATGGTTTCCCTAGATTCACCCATGATATCTCGATTCATTCGATAGCCCACGAACGATAGCCTGCATATTTCAGCGCTGCCGGGAGCAGCCAGATTACCCAGCATGGTGTTCGGCAAACTGCCACGCACGGAGGCGCAACACCCTGCAAGCATTGGTGCAATTCATTGATCCTGCAACACCCCCTCCTTATCACAGAGCCCCTGCTTACAGCTTCCCCCTCGCCTCAACCCCTACCCCCCCATCCACCAATACACACTTCCCCCGCGCGACGACCACCATCCCCTTCTCCTTCGCGAAGGCCACACACTCCCCATCATATGCCCCAGGCTGGAACCAGACAGCAGGAATCCCGATCTCCGCTGCGACATCCAGTGTTGCCCGAGTCACCTGCGGTGGGGTTATGAAGCTCACCGAGGTTCCTTTCGGGTCCGCCAGGTCTTTGAGCGAGGCCAGGGTTTCGTGGGTCAGGACTGTAGGGGTGCGCGGGTTTATGCCGGTTACCGGGAGGGAGTGGGACAGGTACCAGGCGAATACTTGGCAGGGTTAGTATGGGAGGATGGAGGCAGAGGGGGAGGGGGAGGATGGAGAGGAAACCTTTGTGACCATATTTGTTAGGGTCCGGGGTTGCACCTACGACGGCAAAGTGAGGGGATTTGAAGAAGGATTTTATTGTTGCTTGGGACATGGCTTGTTTGGTTGGTCGGTTAGTCTACGAGTAGTTTTTGAATGGAGAGGTTAGGTGGTTGGACTAGGTGAGATTGGGGTAGCAGGTAGGGTCTTGGCGGCGGGGTGTCCGCTGGGTTTGGGTTGGTCTACCGGTAGGCGACTGTAAATTTGTCCTTTGTGGAGAATTGGCGGCTGTCGGTATCGTAGCTTAGCGCGGTTGGCGAGCATGATAGCGGGTACAGTGCAGTACTAGTACTTTTAACGCCACTCTTCTGACCCCATACTTAATCAAGGGGCAGAGCTCATAGAAATAAAGAGTGCGAGCAGGTTATGACCGTCTCCCTACTTTAGGTTCATTTTTAGATTTATAAAGTGATTTTTTGTCGTCAAAAGGACCAATCTTAGATGTCGGGCACCATCCAAGCGTGGGTAAGCGCCCGGTCTTGGCGGAAAGCTGGATGATAGGGGAAGATACTTCTACTGTATATTAATAATTCGAGTGGGTGTAGGGTACGGTACGGCAGTCCCAGGCCCATTCATGAGGAAATTCTACCCGTATTCGCTTTGTTCTGCTTGAATAAACTGACCATACCTCTGTACTGGTACTGGTGTGCTGCATCCTCCAGAGGAGGCCTGCTGTGTACCACAATTTCCGGAAAATACACCCCCACTGAAATACCTGTACAGTACTCAAGCGCTCGTACAACTATCTAGTATCATCCACCAAATAAACCTCGTGATTAAGATCAAACGTGGGGAAGATATCGTAGAGACAACTGCAACTAGCAGTAACCGACAGCTAGTACTAAAAAGGGGGTATATCAGGATTGAAAAAAAAAAAAACTCCTTTTCATACAGGTTCACTGAGACAATAAAAATTGCCCCCCAGACAACCGAGGAAGACAACACCCCCAATGTCCACCCAGCTGATATTGTTGCCTCGATTATTATCCCCATGCCCGTCACAGTGCAAGTATCATACCCACCATGCTCAGGGTCATGGATACCCGTCATACTTCTCATCTGAGAAACAAATAAAGAAACAAACAAACAAATAAACTCATGGAGACATCATTGTCTCCGCTTGGGTTCGCGCGCAGCTGTCCACAGTTAGTAGTGTGTCCCAGAGAACTGGGGAGCGTTGTCCATTGTAGAACAGGGAGGGTCGAGCATGCCTTGCTGAACCGCCGCTGATCGATCAACAAGGGACAGATACAAGCACCCTTGTGGATATTCTCAACCAAACACCGCGCACCGCTCAGGGTAGATTGGTGAGGGCCCACAGGGCCGGTACCATCGAACCCATATCGGCCATCACCAACCCTCTCCCGACCCAGAAATCGAACATATATGCATTTGGTACTGGTGACAATGCTGAGCTGGGTATTGGGCTAGAGATTAACGCAAAGGTTATCAAGCGTCCCGGATTGAATGCCCATGTCCTCCCTGATAAGGTGGGAATAGTTGCAGTTGCAATTGGCGGTATGCATGGCTTAGCCTTACCGTACAGGGGGAAGGTGTAATCGTGGGGCGTCAATGACCAGTACGCTCTTGGGAGAGCAACCACACATACACCTCTGACCAGGGCTTTGCGTTCTGATGATGATGGTGGCGACAGTGACTGTGACGGTGAAGTGCCCTTGAATCCATTGGAGGGCACGCCAATGCTGATTACAGGGGTTTCAGAGGGGACTCTGATTACAAGAATTGCTACCGGTAACAGTATTTCGGTCCCTGTTATGTGCCGACACCGGCCGGGTTTACGGATAGGGAACATTTAGGGTATGTGATTAATTCTCCATTCGGGGTTAGTAAGGTTAATTTATTGTTTAGTGCGCTGACGGCATTCGTGGATTCAAACAGGGGACTAGTGTACAGGATGTTCTGGTCCTGCTACCTAGGCTTAGGAACATCGTTCGGGTCAGTATTGGTACTGATCGCGTCCTTGGCCTTACGAAGGAAGGAGAGGTGTACGCGTGGGGCAATGGTCAGCAATCCCAGCTCGGGAGGCGTATCTCTGAGAGACGTCGCCTCACCGGGCTGAACCCTCGCCAGGTGTCCCTTCCCCGGTGCAAGGGCATGTATGTCGCTACCGGCTCATACCATTCTTTCGCAATGACCCGGGACGGCAGGGTCTGGGCATGGGGGCTCAATCAACATGGGCAATGCGGGATATACGAACCTCCGCGCGGCGGCACAGGATATACCGTAATTCCCGTTCCTACCATTGTGCAGAGTCTTGCAGGGTACACAATCGTTCAGATATCTGCCGGAGAACATCGCTCAACCGCCCTGGCCGAGAACGGTGAGCTCCTGGTCGGGGGCCGTCTTGACAGTGGACAGCTCGGTATAGACCCTGTGGCACTTTCAGCGGATGATTGCGTCCGTGACGCGAGGGGCAACCCCTGCTACCTCAGGACCCCACATGCTGTTCCCGGCATCAGGTTCTCCACCATTGGCTGCGGCACAGACCACAATATTGCCGTCTCGATGGAGGGACAAGCATACTCTTAGGGCTTCAGTTGCAGGTATCAAACTGGCCTCGGCCCCGACGCCGATGACGAGATCATGACCCCTACAAGGATTGAAAACATGGCCACCAGAGGTATCAGGATGACCTTCGCCGCTGCCGGTGGGCAGTTCTCCCCCTCGCTGGAATTCCTACGGAACCTGCTAATTGCGATTATTCGGGTACCGATACACATGCCAATGATGCAGATGCTAATGATGATGAGGAGGCAGTGGAGGAGGATGAGGGAGGAGATTAACAGGGACCGCTAACACACCCAATGGACGGGACCCTCACAACTGGGATTTGTACATCTACGAACATGCGACTTTGTAGTAATCAGTAATGTTGCCTATTGATGTGGGTCAGACAACGACAGGAGCACAACAAACCTTCTCCCTACCGGGAGTGTACGTGCCTTCCCTATTTCCTTCATTAAACCATTTGTACGGTTTAGGTAGCATACAAGACTGGGGCTCTTCGTAGTAGTTTAGGATTATTGATTTCGCATTATACCGCATAGTAGCTGTAGTTGGGGCTGGACCGCCGGTCCTTTACATAGCCACGAGCAAGCCTGAGTCAATGGTCTGAAGCTATTATTAAACGCATGCTATGGCCTGCCATTCCGATCGAACATGTAGCACATCGCTGGGGTCCTCCAGCTCGCGATCGCTGTCTATCCGGCATTCCAGATGGTGGATATCTAGTCTACAATGGGGGGTCCTTTTGGACGCGGTCAACCACCGCCCACCCCATCTAGGACAACCTCGAGGGCTGGCGGGATCGGCCCGCAGCCAGGGGCGCTGTACCATCCGTCGTAGACCGTATTGGGCTTGAGTGCATACACTACGTGACTACCTGATTGAGCGATCATGCCCGATCACTCGCAGGGCCATAGATGAAAAGCGAGTAAACCCTTGTAGCATCTCCATCTCATATACATCAACACTGAAGGAAAACATATAGGCCTCCTCGTCCAGCGCGGCCCACCGGTCATACCAACCCTAACGATCTCTTGGCATGACAAGATGTAAGCCCCCGACAACACCTCGGTCGGCTACCGTATGTCTGATGTATAATGCCATAAAAGGATCGGGGTCACCCCTTCAAGTTAGCTGAGCGCCGCGTGCCCCGCAAACAGAGCCCGAAAAGTGCCTTCATCATGAACTTGATTGTGAGCTACCACCAGCGCGTTCTGCCTGGCACTGTGCCATGTGTCGTCCCCTGCCCAAAAGAGTAACATCAATATTTCACAAGTTCCCGAGTATACTCTTGGCTGCTGAGGCACTCAGTCTGGGTCAAAATACTAGCCAATTTGGGGAATCGTGACAGGATGAACTTTGTGGCTCCTGAAGTTGTATAGTGCCCAGAATACTGTCAGAGTCACCTTTGGTTGGGTGTTTTGGGGAGCGTTCCTCCTTTTTGATTGCTATCGTGGAGGAGTGTCTAGATATACAGGCCGGAGACCTATTGGCGGCGTCACCAAAGCAGCCCAAGCAATCAGTCATAATATAACCTCCGGCCATCTACATGCCCGACAAATACCATAGAAGCTGCACTGCTGAGAACTGTTGTCATGGTGGGATGCTAACTGGCACCAGTACTTGGTTATCTTGATACCCGGACAAAGCTTACCTGTCCTTGTTAATTTTATAATTCTTACGACGGGGGTGTGGGCAGGAAAACGAAGGAAGGGATCGTCATGAACACATAGGAAAATGAGTGGTATGTGTCACCATGAACAGGTACCGGTATCATAGGAAAATCAGAAGCAGTACGTGTCATGTGCTGGGATTTCGCTGAACCAACTGTATCATCAGCCTGCCATCCCGCATTACTCCAGCATCCTCCCTTCTCATCTCCTACACCTCATCCTATCCTATTTTCTGTTCCACATATCAATACCGTACCTTTATCTCTATATTTCCCACTCTCCTTATTTTACTGAGTTGTGTAACTGAGTGGCACGCCCACTTACCAACATTCCATACAAGAATTTCAGATTGGCTTATCAATCACTGTTTCCAAACTCCACTTCTTCCCTATCCCATTTTCCACTACTCGCTCCGCCTCCACACACTCGGTATCAGCTTTTCATCTGCTGAATTCCGGTGGAGACATCGGTGACCTGTTGCATCGCCTATCACAGCTCTGATATTTCCAACCCTTTCCTCCCACTCGGCAAAATCCATCTGGAGGCAATAATTGACTCGGCTCAACCTAGAGGAAGCCAAAGATCTGAAGAGATTGTAGGCCAGTATTCATAGGCTAGGCCCGGCTTGGCTAGCCTGTATAGGCCCGGCCGGCCTATCAGGTGGCAGGTACTTAGCCTATGGCCTATAGCTGGGCCCGGCCAGGCCAGTCCCAGGTTTTTCAAAGCCTGCAGGCTCCGGCCGGGCTAAATCCCCCATAGCCGTGGCAGGCCGGGCCCGGCTTCGGGTTAGCCTGGCCTACCTGGCCCGTTGGGAACACTGTCGACATCACTGCTTTTCAACCTGCCACAATCACGCCGGCCTATAAGGAGGTTCAGCAAGAGGATATGATTCCTTGTAACAACCTGCTAGCCGGCGGGGCACAGGTGACGTCGTTTGAGAAATTACCGCATGCGATTCCATCGACCGATCAAGTTACTTTCACTACTATGGAGGAACTTGTGGAAATGCTCCGACAAAGGGTTTCCCAACTCCTCCATTCGCAGAATGGCTCCTGCATACTTGTCCGTGGTCTGAAGCCTGACAGCCTCATTCAACTGGAGAGGGCAATGCAGAAAATGGGCTCGAGGGGAGCAGCCCGCTTTACGTAAGAGAGTTTTTTGGGATCCCTGATTGTCAGACTGATGCCAGGGCCTGCTCATGAAATGACAAGCCGATATTTCTTGCAAACATCGGTCAAGATCTTTAAAATCCCGCGGCATTCATGGGATTCCTTTTATGGTACTGGAACGATCTAGTATAACGTCCTGGGCAAGCGCGGTAAACAAGGAAACGAGGGATTTAAGCCTAAATCTCGTAACCTAGCCAGTGATTGACCGACCCTTGTCGTTGAAGTTGGCTATTCCGAATCCTTACAACTGCTCCGAATTGATGCCGAATGGTGGCTGCTTAATTCTGCCGGCCAAACACAGATGGTACTGGTTATCCACATTTCCTTGAGTCAAAAGAGGATGCGGTTTGAACTATGGGAGATACTACCAAAGCGCAACGATCTTGGAACCGCCACTGGGAATACTAGCCCGGGCTATTTACAATATGCGGAAGTAAATGCAGGAACCTTGTCGCCACCAGGAGCATCTCTCGTTATCTCCTATAATAAGCTCTTTGACAACGAACACCCCTCGCCACCAGACCTCGTCTTTACTGGTGAAGAACTTTTATATTTTACCCATCATGTCTTTCAGGGCCTAGAGTAGAAGCGCTCGGACATTTCCTGGAGAAGGAGCCCAGCCGCTTAACCATTTTTTATTCTTTGGGTTTGTTGCTTTCCTCGGTTACAGTTCTGTTTCCCTCTACTGTTATGATTATATTTGAAGAGATTGGATCTTCTTGAGCCCCCTCTATTATAACCTGTTTACGCCCACCGCACCCGCAACCCAAATATCTTATTACCTCGCTTTTGCAATACTGCGAATACACATTCGAACCAATATGTAGGGAGGGTGATATGGGTGTTGTTTTGGAGGAATTCGGCAGCTGGGTGGTACACAGAATCGTCTGTGAAAGTTTAGGCATTAGCGAAGCCCTCGGCGGTACAAATGCGGCCATCAAGGGTCTTGCAGCGTTCAAAGTTGTTCCCGGCTAGCCGGTCACAGAGGAAGGGGGGAAGAGAATTGACGCATCTACCAGTGCACAAGTAGGGCAACCTATTGTCCCTGCCACCACTGCTACGGCCCCAACGAGCGCAAATGAAGGTGTAGTCTCCATTCAAACGATCCCCGCAGACCCCGACCCGCAGCCAAATCCCCGAATCGCACAACCGCCAGAGCCAGAAAAAAAATTGAAACCCAAGACCCCTCGGCGGAGACGCCCGAGGAGGGAGAAGAAGAGAAGCCAGAAGATAAAAAGCTGCAAGACATGAACCCGTAGGAATACGCAAAGTGGAAAGCCGAGAAATTGAAGATTGCCCTGGAGGAGTGGTGGGAAGGGGCCTGGGTCGGCGATGATTGAGATTTTCGGGGGTTCACATTTTGTCTGATCGCTGCGCTGTGTTTTGACGGGTTAGGTGCGTTAATTGGCGATTTCTCTTTTATCCTGCTTCTTCCTGTATCTATTCCTAGTTTTCGCATGGATTTGGGTGGGGGATGGATGGGCCGAAGCGGGCTCCTGGGGGGGAAGGGGAGAGGGTGATTAGGGGGATCAGGGGAAAGGAGAATTTTAGTACCTTTTTTTTCGTTCCTTTTCGCTACTTTTTTGTCCCTTTAAAGGTTATCGCTGAAGGAGGGATATATATAGTGGGTATTCTCCTACGGTGGGACCAGGAGTACATCCTTATACCCACCTACCACCAAAAGACCTGCAAATTATGATATAGTGCCGGGCAATTGGCATGTCCGACGGTCAGATTGTTCGAACTGTAACCCTAACCGTGCATTATTTCACATGAGAAGAAGCTTCCCATCACCAGTGCAAGGTCTTCACGGGGTTTGCCTCACTTGGGATTATACACCCCTGCCCGGCTCTGAAGGATCCGCTCCCCTACTGGGAATTTCTATCGTACACCCCCCCCCCAAGGCGAGTGCCGGTATAATAGGACCCATTCCCGAAGCAAATTCGGCATAATATTATGGTGGTCAGACCCCATTCGCCTGCTCCTGCCCGGCCTGGCGGCTAGATGTCGTTCGTCCGGAACGCGGTGGGGGGGGGGGGAAAAAAAGGGAAAAAAAGGAAAACCCTTTTGTTCGAATTCTGCTGCTGTTTTCGGTGATGCCCTGACTGATGCTTTTAGAGTGGTGGCTATTGCTACTGATTACCATTATTCCATCTCTCCTTTTGCCTTCACGGTTTCC